GCAACTACCAATCTGCTTTCTGTTTCTATGGATTTGCCTATTCTGGATATTTCATACAAACATGTGGTCTTAGTGTGATGTTCAGCGTTCATCCACAATAGAGCATACGCTGGTACTTTATTCCTTGTAATGGCTGAATATCATTCCATTGCACGGACAGATCGCATTTTATTATCCACTTGGCCATTAGTGGACATTTGGTTGTTTCCACTTTTGCGCTATGGTGAATAATGCTGCCGGGAACGTTGTGCGCAAGTATTTGCGTGGACATGTTTTCATTTCTCTTGGGTAGATGTCTTAGGAGTGGAATTGCTGAGTGGTATGGTTTCACCTTTTGAGGAACTGCCAGACTGTTTTCCAAAGTGGCTACATCATTTTATATTCCCACCAGCACTGCCGGAGGATTTGAATTTGCCCCTATCCTAGCCCCATTTGATGTCTGTCTTTTTTTTACTACAAGTCATCCTGAGTAGGTGTCAAGTACTATCTCACTGTGGTTGGTTTGCATTTTCCTAATGATTAAAGACAATGGAGCATCTTTTCATGTGTTTATTGGCCATTTGCATATCTATGAAGAAATGTCTGTTCAGAAGCTTTGCCAGTTTTTGTTTATTTATTTATTTAAGGATTTTATTTATTTATTTTGACAGAGAGAGACACAGCCAAGAGAGGGAACACAGGCAGGGGGAGCAGCAGAGGGAGAGGGAGAAGCGGGCTCCCCACTGAGCAGGGAGCCCGATGCGGGCTCGATCCCAGGACCCTGGGATCATGACCTGAGCCGAAGGCAGACGCTTAACGACTGAGCCACCCAGACGCCCCTGTTTTTTTTTTTTTTAAAGATTTTATTCTTTTAAGTGATCTCTGCCCCCAGTGTGGTGCTTGAACCTACAACCCCGAGATCAAGAATCTCACGCTCCCCCATTGGAGCCAGCCAGGTGCCCCAGCTTTGCCCATTTTGAAATTGGGTTGTCTTTTTATTACTGAGTTACATGAGTTCATATGCATATGTTCCATACTCTTATGTAAATATAGTCTGGATACTAGACCTTTATCAGATATGTGATTTGCAAATACTTTCTTCCATTCCATGGATTATCTTTTTACTTTCTTGATTGTGTTCTTTGCAGCACAAACGTTTTTTATTTTGATGGCAGTCCAGTTTACCTGGTGTGTCTTTTGTTGCTATGCTTTTGGTATCTGAGAAACAGTTGTCTAATCCAAGCTCTCAAAGATGTATGCCTGTGTCTTCTCCTAAGACTTTTCCAGTTTCAGTCCTAACACTTAGGCCTCTGGTCCATTTCGAGTTCACTTAACAAATATGGGGCTAGGTAGTTGCCTTGGGGTTTGCAGAAGACATCTTGAACTTCCATGGATTATCTTTTTACTTTCTTGATTGTGTTCTTTGCAGCACAAACGTTTTTGATTTTGATGGTACTGCATAGACTCTCTGAGGGGACGCTTGATGGCTGGAGCCATCCATTTTGGCTGGAGCCATCCATTTTGGCTGGAGCCCCATTTTGACTGGAGCTCCATTTTGGAGCATGATGATAACAAATATGGGGCTAGGTAGTTGCCTTGGGGTTTGCAGAAGACATCTTGAACTTGTCATAGTCTACCTACAAGTGCTATGGTCCAATTCACACATAGTACCAAAACCATGTGGCCACACGTTTTACTTTGACATGTTATGAGGCCCATAACACATTGTTATATTTTGTCTAAACAGTTACCTTCCAAAAAAGATTAAACTAATGAGAAAAAAATCTTACAGATCTGCCTGTGTAGTCACCATTTCTGCTCTTTCCTTTGTATAGATCTGAGTTTGCATCTGGTATCATTTTTCTTCTGCCCTAAGGATGTCCGTGAACATTTCTTTTTTTTTTTTAAGATTTTATTTATTTATTTGAGAGAGAGAGAATGAGAGAGAGAACATGAGAGGGGGAGGGTCAGAGGGAGAAGCAGACTCCCTGCTGTGCAGGGAGCCCGATGTGGGGCTCGATCCTGGGACTCCAGGATCGTGACCTGAGCCGAAGGCAGTCACGTGAACATTTCTTGTAGTGTGGCTCTAAGAGTAATGAATTCTTTCAGCTCTTGTATGTCTGAAGACATCTTTATCTTGCCTCGATTTTTTTTAAAGATATTTTCTCTGGGGGGCGCCTGGGTGGCTCAGTTGGTTAACCATCCAACTCTTGATTTCGGCTCAGGTCATGATCTCAGGGTCGTGGGATCGTGCCCCACATCGGGCTCCCTGCTCAGCGGGAAGCCTGCTTCTCCCTCTGCCCTCTTCCCTCTCGTGCTCTCTGTCTCTCATTCTCTCTCTCTCAAATAAATAAATAAAATCTTTAAAAAAAAAAAAAAGATATTTTCTCTGGGGGGGGTGCCTGGATGGCTCAGTCGGTTAACCATCCAACTCTTGATTTCGGCTCAGGTCATGATCTCAGGGTCGTGGGATCGTGCCCCACATCGGGCTCCCTGCTCAGCGGGAAGCCTGCTTCTCCCTCTCCCACTCTGCACCTAGCAGGGAGTCCGCTTGGGATTCTCTCTCTCTCCCTCTGCCCCTCCCCCTGCTCAAGCACGCGCTCTCTCTCTCTCTGTCTCTTTCTCAAATAAATACATAAAATCTTAAAAATACATAATTTTCTCTAGGTGGAGAATTCAAGGTAGATAGTTTTTCTTTTTTTCTTTCAGCACAGCACTTTAGAGATGTTGCCGTCCTGGCTTCTCCCTGCATTGTTTCAGATGTCATCTGCTGCCTTTTTATCTCTGTTCCTTTGTTGTGTGTCTTTTTGTCTCTGGTGGTTTTCAGCATTTGCTCTTTTCATTGGTTTTGAGCAATTTAAAGAGGGTGCACCTTGGTGTAGTTCTTAATTATTTTTCTGCTAGAGTTCACTGAGTTTCCTGAGTCTGTGGATTTCTCATCAACTTGTGAGAATTTTCAACCGTTATTTCTTCAGGGAATTTTCCTGCCCTTCCTCTTCTCCTTCACTTTTGGAGACTTTAATCACACATACATTAGGCTGCTCAAAGTCTCCCCTCAGCTCATGGGTATTGTCTTCATTCTGGAGAGTTTCTATTCCTATGTTTCCAAATTCACTAATAAAAGATTCTGCAAAGTTTAATCTACCATTTATCTCACACGATATGTTTTTCATCTCTTGTATTGTAATTTCATCCCTACAGATTGGACTTGGGTCCTTTCTTGTATCTTCTATGTTGCTCCTTAACTTTTTGAACATGTGGAATAGAGTTACATACTCGTTTTACTTCTTTTCTGCTAATTCTGTGTCAGTTCTTCGTCAGTTTCCATTGACTGATTATTTCTCTCTTGTGGCTTATCTTTTCCCACTCCTTTGCATGCCTGGTCATTTTTGATTGAATTCCAGACACTTTGAACTTTCCCTTGTTGGCTTCTGGGTATTTTTAGATTCCTAGATACATTTTTGAGTATGTTCTGGGATGCAGAGAAGAGAGTTTGAGTCTTTTGCATCTTCCATTTAAGATTTGTTCGGTGGATCTGGAGCTGTGCCCGGTCACTCTCAGTGACTGGGGTCTGACCTTAATACTTACCCAGCTCCCCAGGAATTATGTGTTTTCTCCAGTCTGACTTCTGGGAACAGGCACTATTCCCAGCCCTACATGAGTATTGTCTCCTCTACTAGTCTTTCTGGATGGTTCTTTCCTGGCCTCAGGTGGTTTTCTCACACACACACATGCACTGATCAGCTGTCTGGGGTTCTGTACAGCTCTCTCCTCTCTGGTCCTCTGTTCCAGGACCTCTGGCTGCCTCAGTCTCCCCAGAATCCCAGTCCTCTCCTCAGCCAGGGAGTCCAGTGGACTCGGCCTGGGCCCCCTCCCCATGCTGCGTCACCTTATTTGTTTCCTGTCTTCCAAGAATCACTCTCCTTGGTCTTCTGATGTTCAATTTCTTGAAAGCACTATTTTATGTCTTTCCCCTGGATTTTTGGTTGTCTCGGATGCAAGGATAAATCCAGTACCTGTTGCCCCATCGTGGTCAGCTATGGGAAACAGACGTTGGCATGTTTGAAGAGTCCCCTTGGCTGGAGTTTTTAAAACAAGCACTGCAATCCCATTATTGGTCAGTCAAGCAGAATGGATTTTTACGTGAAGGCTTCTAAAACTTTGTTCTGATCTTGGTCAATAGACATGAATCGAGTGCGTTCTGTAGTATGTCAGATGCTCACGGGTCATGATGTTTAAGTCGGGCATGCCCTCAGGGGCAGTCAAGTTCAGAGCCCAGGTTGGCAGTGCAGCTCCCCAGGCAAGCCAAGGGGAAGCCCCGCGATTAGCCCTGGCTAATTGGTGATGGGGTCAGCACCTGGGACTCGTGGCCCTGGGAGGAACCCACTGACAGCAAGTGGGGAAGGCCAGGAGACTCCAGGCAGGAGGTGGAGTTTGGAGCCCAGGTCTCCCTCCCCCTGTGGGGGCTGGCTGACCCTGGACCTGCCATTTGACTTCGGAGCTTCCCATTCCTTGCCCTGAGAATGAGGCTGCAAATGCCCACAAGAGTAGACCATGGGTGGAGGGCGCCCCCGCCATGTCCAGTGGGGAACAGAGGAGGTGAGCGAGTCCACTGGGAGGGCTTGGGGAGAGAGCCAGGGGAAGCTCCGAGGCTGGGGCCTCTCTTGGGGAGTGGGTGCTCCTGTGACACCTGCTAGTATGTGCCAGGTGGGCGCTGGGCTCATGCTGAATGTCTGGGCTGGAACCGGGTGCGGCAGGAGGCAGGGGTGGGGGTGCTGGGCCCAGGGCGGCTGCAGTGGGCTTGTGAAGGAGGGTGGGCGTCCCACTAGGTCCTGGCACTGTGGTGGGTGGGATGAAGGCTGCAGTCAAGAAGAGGCCCGAGGGTGCCCACCTGTGGGCAGCACAACTGTGTGGTGGCAGACAGGTGGGGAGACCGGGGGCAGAGCTGGTGGGCAACTCCTTCCTTGCCTTCATCTGGTCCTCAGCCCCAGCCCCTAAGCAGCTCCCCACCTGCCCGCTCCTCTTGTCGTTGCAGCTGCTCAGCTGGGAAAGAAGGTGGCCGTGGTAGACTACGTGGAGCCTTCCCCCCGAGGTAGGTAGCCCCGGATGGGAGTCTTCTGTCTTGGGGGAGCAGGAGGATGGGGGCCTGGTTCACATACAGGGGCAGCGGCTGAACCCAGAACCATTCACCACTGCTGGCCAGGCTCTCTGGCGAGTGTCCTCCTTGGCAAGTCAGCTGCCATTACTTTAAAGTTCTTCATTCTTATTTAAAGACAACACAGACTACAATTATAGAGAGTAAATTCCCAGGGCAGGGTTCACCTGGAGCGTGCTTGAGTTACAAACAACCTGAAGGACTCTTTTTTATTTTATTTTTTTAAGATTTTATTTATTTATTTGAGAGAATGAGTGAGCGAGAGAGAAGCAGGCTCCCTTGCTGAGCAGGGAGCCTGATGTGGGGCTTGATCCCAAGACCCTGGGATCATGACCTGAGCCGAAGGCAGACCCCAACCTACTGAGCCACCCAGGCGCCCCAACTTAAAGGGCTCTTAGACAACTGTAGAGGAGTAGGAGGGCCTTCCAGTCCCCTGAATATAAATCTAAACGTGCCCTTCCCAACATGCCAGGTACCAGATGGGGCCTCGGCGGCACATGTGTGAATGTTGGCTGCATCCCCAAGAAGCTGATGCACCAGGCAGCGCTGCTGGGGGGCATGATCCGAGATGCCACCCACTATGGCTGGGCCATCCAGCCGGTCCTGCATGACTGGTGAGGAGCCCACCCACTCACTGCGCCTCTGTGCTCCTCACGGTGGGGGCGGCGGGGAGGCTTACTGCCCCATTAACCTTCACAGAAGCGAGCTACCAGACGGGCGCTCACCCGGGGCCCACCCTCTCCCCAACATTCAGCAAAGTCTGGAAACATTTTTGGTTATCACCACTGGTTGAGGTGGGGGCCTCCTGCACCCTCACAAAGGACAGTCTGGCCCCAGAGGCCACTAGTGGGAGGTGAGAAACCGATTTGGCTTCCACAGGTGGCCCCTGGTCTGCTCTGAGCTGCACACAGGCCCCTCAGTGGTTCTCAGATGACCTAGACTCAGGGCCACTGCTGTGTCCTGATGGCTGTGGCCCACAGCCCCAGCCCCGGGACGGAGATAGTGGCCAGGGGCATAGGTGTCACATTTTTCCACCTTTAGAATCACCTTGTTTCTTGGGATTTCTGCCAACTGGCTATTTGCGTCTACTTGTCTGTTGTGGGACTCTGCGGTTCATGCTTCTGGGGTGGTTTCTGACATGTCTTGGTGTGTGTTAATAGGGGGACGATGGCAGAGGCCGTGCAGAACCACGTGAAGTCCCTGAACTGGGGGCACCGGGTCCAGCTGCAGGACAGGTACTGAGGCCTCGCGCGGCCCTCCCCCCTTCTCTGGGGACATTTTCTCCCTTGGCAGGCACTTTCTCACTAGAGGCTCGGCAGCGATAAGACCAGAGGTCCCCGCCCGTGGGGTGGGGTGCACACACGCAGAAGGAAGGCCGTCCTACAAGCTCGCATCTGCAGAGCCTGGAGTAGCAGGGGCTGAGGGGCATGTTGGCAGGACAGCTGGGGCCTGGGTCTGCACCAGGGAGGAGGCATGCTCGGGGCTGGCGCTGGGGAGGCCAAGGGCCAGAGCATGGGGGCACAGAGAGGGCCATCCCAGTGACCAGCGCCTTCCTTGAGGCAGGTGACCTTTCTCCTGTCAGGGTCGACCACCGTGATGTGGAAAGAGCCCATTGAGCCCCATGTTGCTGTTGCAAAGAGGATGCCCGGGCACCACCCTGTGAAGTCCACACTTCACCTCTCCAGGCACCTCTCCAGGCTCCCAGCCCTGAACCCCACACCTCACCACCCACCTCCTGGCTCCCCGGGCATGTATGAAGGCACCTGGTGTTGTCTGCTGAAGCAATGTCCAACATGATCATTCCAGCCTGAAGCCGCCAGGTCCCATCCGCCCTTTGGGGTTCCCCAACCTGGATACCGACCCAAAGCATCCTCCCTGAGGAGCTGCTACCAGGAGAGGTGCTCAAAACTGCACTCAACTCTGGCGAGGCTTCGCTCCTGGCCCTATAGCTCTGCCCTTTGCCCATGCAGGTCATGGAGGGGACACTGTGCCCTCAGAGGTCTGGTGGCTCTCATCTGAGCACTATTTGCTTGGCTCCAAGGAGTCTTCCTGGGGCTGTACAGTACACAACTGTTTTGTGCCCATGAAACCCAGGCCAGCTGAGCCAGGGAAGCTGGCCCGCTTGCCCATCCCGGGTGTTCCCAGGGGTCCCCCCCCTCAGGGAGGTAAGCTGTATCCTGTCGCTTTTCCTCTGTGTGGGGCTCAGTATTCCCCAGGGTAGTTTGCTGGAAGCATAGGGCTCTGCCCTCCTTCCTGCTAGCCCCAGGCAGCTCCCAGGCAAGTGCCAAACAGGCCCGAACGATCCCACCTTCTGGAGGTGCCCCCAGAAGGAAGCCAGTGCGGAACCCGTGTCTGTGTCGTCTGGCTGTTACTGGGCTGTGGGGGTGAGTGAGGACTTGGTTCTTACAGCTCAGGCGGCACATGGGGGTGCAGGCCTCGCTTGTGGGGAGGATGTAAAGTCAAGGAGGTGGTGAAGCCGTAATTACCAAAGGCGCCAAGAACCCACCACTACAGACTGGCCTTCATTATCAGAAGGTGTGGATCGTCTGTGCACACCTGCACCTGACCACCCTTCTGTCCTCATCATACCTGTTTTCCAGCCTTACGGTCCCCTAAAGGCAGGGGGTGATGCCTATCTGGTGGGCACCCTCCCTTGTCAGCGGGAAGTTGGTCATTTGGGTGGCGGGGGTAACTGGGTGCAGGCGGGGGCCTCTGCTCCCTGCTGGAATGTGCCCAGGTGACAAGGAGGGACCCTGGGGAGGCCCAGCCACTTCTGTCATCACACACCCGGGCTGTACTTGGGCTCTCGGGGCCATCCCGAGCTGGCTTCTGTCCTGGCAGTTCCAGGGATTCCTGGCCCTCCTCCCCTTGCACACCTCCTGGTGCCCCTCTGCACTTGCCCCTTGCCCCGCCTGGGTTGGGGGCAGGGGGCTGTGGGCCCAAGCTTTCCTTTTAGCCGTCTGCTCCCTCTTTAATCCCATAGGTGACGCCTAATTTGCAGAGGAAATATTTGACAATCATATTGTTATTTTGCAGAAAAGTCAAGTACTTTAACGTCAAGGCCAGCTTTGTCAACGAGCACACGGTTTGCAGTGTTGCTAAAGATGGGAAAGAGGTGAGTGCCCAGCTCTCCCAAGTGGCTCCTCTCGGGTGGTCCTTACCCTTCCAAGGACTCCAGCCTTGTTTGACCTCAGTGCTCTTCTCAGTAATAAGCACTGCTGGAATTGACCGCCAATCCCCCTGAGGCTGGTTGTGATTCTCTGCGAGCGATGAAACGCATCACTGAGATGCACGTGGCACCAGGCTGTCCGCTGCGCCGGGCAACAGGGCGGGTGATCCTACCCTCGCAGAGTTTTGTGGGATTGAGGGATATGAGACACCTGCGGGCGCTCTGTAAACCGCGGGCTGCTTGGAGTTAGAATGTCTCCCTGCCCTCTTCTGCTGGGCCCCCTCCTGGCTCGAGGACCCTTGACAGGTTCCCAGCTCCAAGGGGCCTCTGAGCTCCTGGCTGGAGGGTCCACACTGCAGGGCAGGAGCTGTGATTAGAAAGCGTGGGTCTCTGCTGGGAGCCTATGCCGACCTGCCTGACCACAGCTTCCTCGGTTTATTCTCAGACTCTGCTTTCAGCTGAGCACATCGTCATTGCTACTGGAGGGCGGCCGAGGTACCCCACCCACGTGAGTGTCCCCAGCACACAGCCTTCCCTCGCACCCCGGGCACATTCACGGTCTCCCAGCTTACGCTTCCCACACCAGTGGCACCCCCACTCTTTCTTTTCTTAAAAAAAAAAAAAAAAGTTTTTTTCTATATTCACTCTGGTCACTTTCTAATGCTCTCTCAACTGCGTTCTATGGAAGCAGGTCGACAGGGACCCCCACATCCCCTCACTCTTCACGTGGCTCTAGGACACCCCTGCCCCTGGTCTCCTTTATCTCTCTTTGCTGATTCTTCCTTTTCTCCTTAGCCTCAAGGTATTGGAACATCCAGGACTTAACCCTCTTCTTCCTGCCCCCACCCCAAATCATGACATAAGATTCTCATACCATGAAATGCGCCCTTTTAAAGGGTACGATTCGGGGGGGTTTTAGTTTATTTACAGAGTTGTGCAACCATCAGTCTCCACTACCTAATTCCAGAACATTTTCATGCCCCAAATGAAATCCTGTCCCGTGAGTGGTCACTCCGTTCCCGGCTCCCCAGCCCCTGATGACCACTAGCCTGTTTTCCGTCTCTGTGGATTTGCCCATTCTGGGCACTTCACATAAATGAAATCAGACAACATGTGGCCTTTGTGCCCGACTTCCTGCACTCAGAAGGTTGTCAAGGTTCATCCACATGGTAGCCTGTGTGAGAGCTTCATTCCTTTTAATGCCTGAATAATGAGCCATTGTGTGGCTGGACCATATTTTGTTTGTCCACTTGTCCATTGATGAACATCCGAGTTGTTTGTACTTTGAGCTGTTGTGAATAATGCTGCTGTGAACATCAGTGCACGAGTTTTTCCATGGACTTAAGTTTTCACTTCCCTTGGTTCTATACCTAGGAATGGAGTTGACGGGTCATAGGGTAACTCAGTTTTTAACCTTTTGAAGAGCCAACAGCCTGTTTTCCAAAGCGGCTGCACCATTTTGCATACCCCACCCCCTCCAATGACGTGTGAAGGTCATACTTTCCTGGTTCTTCACATTTCATAATTTTTTTTGGTTGTTGAGAAATGAGTATTTTAAATAAAGTAATGCGTTAACTCTGGAAATCAGAATCTGTCTCCACCGTAGGATTTTGTTTATTGCTGTTGTATGTTGGGTGGTTTTCTGAAGGGATTTTGTAAAGTCTGTATTCTTTTTCAGGGGAGGCCACTGAGGTCTCTGCTCAGCTGGGTTAGTGGTCAGCTAGTAACTAGACAGAGATTTCCTGAAACACCTGGAGAAACGGCCCAGTCTTTGCTGACAGATTCTGTAGGCATTTGGGGGCATGCTTTGGGCAATCAGGCAGGCGCCAGAAACTCTACCTTAGCCCTCACTTCCTGCCCGTGCCGGGCCTCGAGGTCAGCCAGAGGGGAGACCTCAGGCTGTGTGGGGCCTTTCCCCGGGTGTGTGTGCAGCCCAGGGCCTACACCTGGCCTTCTAGGTCCCCGGGAATATGCAGGAGCTTTTCAAAGCCCCTGTGGACAGCTCATTCCTTGGTTTTCCTTTTTTCTTTTTTTTTTAAAGATTTTATTTATGTGTCAGAGAGAGAGCACAAGCAGGGGAGGTGGCATGCAGAGGGAGTGGGAGAGGGAGAAGCAGGCTCCCTACTGAGCAAGGAGCCCCATGCAGGACTTGATCCCGGGACCCCAAGATCATGACCCAAGCCGAAGGCAGACGCTTAACCAACTGAGCCACCCAGGCATCCCTGGCTTTTCCTTTTAAGCTCTTGGGTGGTGTGTTGTTTGCTTCAGCTGTTATCCGTTGCTTCGGGCAGCTGTGGCATCAGTCACCGGGCAGATCCTCCTCTGAGAGAGGCTTCTGGCCCTCGGCCAGGTCAAGCGAGGTTGAAGACAAGCCTTTTGAGTAGGGCCTTCTGGGGAAGCCCCAGCCAGGTCGATCGACGACTGTTTCTTGGGAAGGAGCTTTGCAAGGGCTCCGGCTCACCTCGGCTCTGCTCTCCCCACTGTGTTTCTTAAGTAGCTCATCGTCGCTCAAGCTTGCTGCTGTGCTGAGGGATGAGGCTAGAGTCCGTTACAACTCCACAAAACTCTCTGTCCATACCAAGTTTCAGCCATTTTTCTTGACTAGACTTTCCAGAGTTCTCAAAAAGTTGAATCTGACTATTTTTGCTAGTTGTCTGGCTGTTTTTATGGAAGGGTGAACATTGGGAGGTCCTCACGCTACCATTTTTTGCCAGCGTCCCCTCCTGGCCCGGTCTGCTGTGAGGGCGCTTCTCTGCCCTCACTCCTGTGAGGCAGGTGGAGCTAAGGAAGGGGCCGTACGGTCAAGGTAGTGGAGAGGGGGATGGGAAGCAAGAAGGGACTTGGCCGAGGCCACATCCTCGTGGGTCTCCCAGGGGCCCTGGGAAGCAGATGGCATAAGCCCTGAGCCTCCAGATGGGCTGCAGCGAAGTGCATGAGGCCCACAGACTCCCTGGGCCTGGAGGCCACTTCTGCCTCCTAGTTAGACCGACAGAGCACAGATGGAGCAGATGGAGGAAGAACAAGGGAGTGGTTCTGTTTCTCCCCAGATGCCCAAATCCCAAGCCTCCATCTTCGGTTCTGTGCTTTCTCTGGAAATGGGGAGCAGAGGGGACATGGGGAAAACGCACACCTCCAGTCCTCAGAGGAGCACCACGCCTCCGTCTGGCTGTAAGGCCCTCAAGAGCAGCCTCTGGAGGGGACAGGTGGCTTGCACAGAGGTGGCCCTTGGGCGGGTTACATGGCCCTGTAGGGTGGCGGGGTGCTGTTGTTCAAGGGAGGAAAGGTGGGCGACCGTTAGTGACCCCTGACCCTTCAGCCAGGCCTACGTTGGTTCTGCATAGAGCCCCTGAAGGCCACAGTCAGCTCCCAGGAGCTGGGCGGTCATCTGGGGCAGACCAACATATGTGCCTGCACCAGGGTGCCCTGCAGAGGCGACAGGCCTGGCCCCAGCCTGCTAGACCTCGGCTAGGCGGCTGCCATGTGTCCCCCGGCCAGGGGGGGATAGAGCAGGAGTTATCTGGCCCAGGGGGAGGCAGCCGTCCCACCACCTACCACCACAACCCCTTCCCCGGGGGCCTGCCAAGACTCACTTGTGTTTTAGTTCCTTTGATTTCTAGACCTTTTGGTTTTCTTTACACAAACCCGAGAAATTCCTGGCTTTATTTTTATTGCCGATTAGAATCATAAACTGTTTGAAATCCGCTTCCTCTCCACCCGCACATCTTGCTCTTCTTACTCTCGTGGGCCACTGAGGGGACACGGGTCCTTGTCTCCCCCGCCTGCTTAGCGGCCCCTCCTCAGGCTCCACTGGTATACACCCTGGAGGATGCCCAGGAGCGTCCAGCCTTCAGCCCCGTGCCCTTGGGGCCAGCCTGCCCCTCCACACCCTGCGTCACTCTGCTCCCCACCTGTCCTCCCTCAGCCCAGCGTCTGGATCAAGCGGAAGGCCCTGGAGAGCAGGGAGGAAAAGGCTGTGGGCCACACGCCGGCTCCCCAACCACCTTGCACAGCCAAGGAGTACTGGGTGCTTTGCCCAGAAGGTAGATGGTGCACCAAGTCAGATATAGCCAGGTCACCTGTCCCTAGAGGCCACAACCTGAAGAACAAACAGTGTGTGGAGCAAGGAAGCGCACCCATGGGTGGGCTGGGGGTGGTTCTGCTTGAGTTGTGTCTACAGAATGGTCATCCTCTTTGGGGGAAATCTCTGGAGACAGGCCAAGTGATGCTCTTCTCACGTTGATCCTTTTTTTTTCTGGATAGATCGAAGGTGCCTTGGAATATGGAATTACAAGTGACGACATCTTCTGGCTGAAGGAATCCCCTGGAAAAACGTAAGACCCAACGTGTGCCTTAATGGAGATCCTCTTGTTCACCGTTGCAAACATCAGAACCATTCAGAACCACATGTTGGTTATACACCCGTGTATTACAAAATGCATCAGCTGCTGTCTAGGGGCGGTGGTTTTCAAACAGGGTTCCCAGAGCCCCAGGGTTCCAGTGTGTCCTGTCAGGGACATCACGGAGGGAGGACATTCAAGGAGGAGAAAGTGAGGCCAGGTCCTCAGGGAAAGCCGTTGGCCTCTCCGCAGGCCTTGATTAAACATCCCCTTTCCTCTGGTTTGAACCTTGGGCTTCTCTGAAATGCAGCAAAGGCTCCGAAGTTCTCAGAAACTGTAGCCCAGGAAATGAGACGTGCAGTGTGTGAGCAGTTTTACACTCCTTGAGCAGGTGTTCATGCACCAAATGTATTGCTTGTACCCACAGAGCAGGCTGTTGGGGGGTTCCAGGTCCAGACAGGCCCTGTGAGTGGCATTTGGGGGACTCCATGCTCGCAGGGACTGGAAAGGCCACCAGAGGGCAGCAGAGGCTTGGTCGTCAGTGGGCTCTCAGCTGCCTTGGGACTTGCGTTTGAGAAAATAGAGGTGGAGAAGTGTGCCAGGGTGGGTGGGCGTGTGTGTGAACGGGCACCCATGTGCTCTCCTTATCGCTGCTTCCCACTTCTGAGGCATCTCTGGTCGCGGTCGGGGCTTGATTCCCTTGAATGGATGTGGTGTAGTTGATCTTTCCACTACTCCCGAGCATCTCACTAGGCTCCTTTTGTCGGCGTTATGAAATGCTGCAGCGAAAACCTTTGGTGTGCATCTTACCTGCTGTCATAATGCTTCTTGTGTGTTCTACATACCTGTCGGGGGTTTCCTACAAGCCGAGAACGCAGGTACAGGGCTTTACACGTCTTGCTAGCAGGTGCTCCCTCCTGGTGGGCTGCCCTGTGTTCCCGGTGCACCCCTGCCTGCCCCACCCCCCGCAATTTGGCCGGGCCATCGGCTTTTTCATGAGCCGTAAAACAGGAAGGAGCCTCTCCTCCTGCTCCCGTGGGGGGTGAATGCCGGTTGTTTCTGCCCAAGGCGTGTGTGGTCCCTCCAGTGACCGTGGTCAAGCTCACACAGGCTTGGATCCCTCTGTCGCGTTCCTCTGGCTCTCCAGGCTGTGGTTTCTCCTTTTACTCGGTGATATTATCTCATACAGAAGTTCGTAATTTTCACGCTGTGACATCGATCACTTTTTTCCTTTATGCTGAAATATCTGGGTTATCTATTCTTTTATCTTTAGCTAGCTAATGGGTTAAACGTGACCTGATTCTATTTGCACTTGCTATTACTAGTCATCGTTCCGTGTGTTTACTAGCCGTTTAGAACTGAGTGTGTCTGTGAATGTGTGAGTGTGTGTGAGAGTGAGTGTGTGTGTGTGTGTTGTCAGCTTCGTCCGTGGCCCACTTTCTATCTGGTTTTCTTTTTTCTTATCTGTTCCTTATCTTCCAGCTGGTTTGCGTTCTAGGGCTGTGATCCCAGGCCATTTCTATTGCACATTTTCTTGGCTTGTCATGTCATTTCACTTGCGTGATGTACAAATGGTTTTTTTCTTATTTTTTTTAACCTACCTTAGATCTCTTTTTACACTTAATGGCTTTTAGATTTATTGCATGTTCAGGAAGGCCTGCTTCACCCCTAAGATTGTTTTTGAAAACGAGCCTCCATATTTTCCTTTAGGGCTTCCACAAGTCAGATTTTCCTTTGCGTCCTCGGGGTGTTTGCGGTTCATCTTTGGTGTGGCGGGGCATGGTGTGGTATGGCATGGCATGTCGTGGCGTGGCGTGATGTGGCATGCGGTGCAGCATGGCGTCGAGGGGGCCGGGCTGCCAGGGTTCCTGTGTCGCTGACCAGCAGCCCCTCGAGCCAGTCTGAAAGCTCAGTCCCCGAGTGGAGTCCAGTCCTGCTCTGGCTTCTGACTCCGACTTTCCCGTATCACTGGCCCGAGTGCCTGGCACTGGCTTCAGATCTTAGTTTTCTTTTGCACCAATCCCTCTGGGTGGAATGTAGACCCACTTTGCCGGCCTCTCTGTAGTGGTCCTCTGGACCCGTGGTTCAGACAGCCTCGAATGTGCAGCTGCCTCGGAGGCCAGCTCGCTGCCAGAGCTCATGCCCTGTGTGAGGCGCTGTGAGCTTCAGTCATCTCGGCCTCTAACCGAAGGCCAGCATTTTCGGAATCCCGGTCTTTTGTCAAATTCGTTCCTGTGTATTCTGTCGGTTTCTTTTGTTTGCTGTTTTCCCATTACCCATTTCCCATTTCCCATTTCTCAGCCTCGGCCCCCCGAATGCCAGCGTCTCGGTGTTCGGGAAGGGGTCGGTTTCTAGCGATTGTCTCTTGGGCCACTGCTCACAGGAGGCTGGGTGTGTGTGGAGGCTGGGGAGGGTGGGAGGCCCAGGCGCACTGGGTGTCGCCGGTGCTCAGCGCGGTGGCCCAGGGCCCGGGCCCCTCCTCCGCGACCATGTGTCGGGGCAGCGGCCTGCTCAGCCGGGAAGACACCACCCCAGATCTTTCGGTCCGGAAAGAAAGTGCTGTGTTTATTTTCTTCAGAAAAAAAACATTTAGAAGATTTTTTTTTTTTAAAAAAAAAGCTCTTTCGTTTAGAAGGAATCTAGGTATGTTATTGTTTAAGAAAAAAAAGTGTTTGCAATGTATCAGTCACCCGTTTCTCGTTCTGAGCATGATTTATGTGAGGAAATGGTTTTTTTTAAAAATTAAGCTGGAGATATATCCCTGTACGATGCTTCTGTGAAAATGTGGCTTTTGTCCGGTGCTGTTAATGCAAGTTGTAACAGTGTGATATGGGAGGCAGTGTTTACATGCTGCATTCCTCTGCTGTAGTCAAAATAAGCCCGGAGGGTCTACAGTAGCATTTCTGTATTTTATCAGCTTGGGCTGGGGCTGAGAGGGAGGCCTCTGCTCACACTTGGAGGGGCTGTTTCTGCCAGATTTATTTGCCTTATAAATATTCCCTGTGTTTATTTTAACTCGCCTTTAAAATGGAGTTGAAATTAATATGGACCTGAGGGCTGCCCCCCGGCCCTGTAGTGCCTCCTGCAGCCGGGGGTGGGGGGGGTTGGCGGGGGGGTGGATCTCTGCTCGGTGCCATCGGGAGGCACAGCCGGTGCTGGAGGGCACCCAGCGAGCTGGCCTCCGTCTGCAGCGGGTGCGGTCCCCACCGGCCAGCTCCTCACGACCCGTCAGAGGCTCCGCGTCCCTTGTGCGTTCTTCCTCTCTCCATCCCTCCCCATGATGGGGCGCGGGCAGCATCCGACCTTTCAGGGTGTATCTGAGTGGGGCACAGTGACCAGTAGCCCTCAGTGGGGCCTGCAGCCCTTCAGCCTTCTGTGGTTGTTCCATGCCTTTGTCCCCTCAGGGCATGGACCCTGGTGGCCACAGAGGTGTTCAGCCTCACAGACATGTCTTTGCTCGAATCCAGGTCTGAGGAGCCCAGGGCTAGCCAGATGGCAGAGAGGGCATGATGAAGCCCAAGCCCAGCTGGTGGGAAGAATGAAACAGCCTTCACAACACAGCTGGGTGCCCAGCTTGGCACCCTGGAGGTAACAGATCATGTGTGGAAACTTCCACCATATGCAGCGTGAGCTCCCAAGTCTGCGAGCAGGGCCCTGTGATGTCAGGCCAGGGCCGGGGGGAGCCCTGGTGGCCCAGACCCTCGGAGCCACACCCTCGGCCTGAGGTGGGACCATGAGATTGGCATCTACTCAGCCTCGGCCCCCCGAATGCCAGCTTTGTATCTGGCTTGTTCGGCATTTCCGTTGTTCTTGCTTCTTCCTTTTTCTGTGTAATCCAGGGCAGGTTGAAGAAGTGAGGAGGATTCTGGGTGAAGAACAGGGTCCCCTGGGCAGGTAGCAGGAGCCCCTTCGGAAGGAACGGTCAGGGGGATAATGGTCACTTCAAGGAACTGTTGACCACCAGTGGAGAAAGTGGGGGTGCAGAGGAAGTGCACTGCCCTGCACGGGGAGACTTAGAGATGGCATGCAGCCCTGCCTGTCCCAGATGTCCAGCCCAGCAGCTCCCTGGCAGGTGGAGGGAGGGTGGAAGGGAGAAAGGTGGGCCAACTCCCCACAGTGCCTTTAAGGAGGCAGGCCCTGGGGTATCTGGCCCCGCCCTTGATCCCACAGCCTGGTGATCTTGGCTCACTCAGCTGGAGGGCCACCTCCTCTTCCAGGCCTTCTGGACCTGGGCATCCTGGCTGGGACTTGGGCCCGGCCTTCCTGCCTGCCCGGGGCCAGGATCCTCAGGTCCCCACACCCTGCAACTGTTCGGGGGGCCCTAATGGTGGAGAATCGAGGTCACTCTGCTCCACACCCCCACACCCCCTCGGCTCCCTGGCCCAGCTGGTCAGCATTCCGGCCTGGGGTTCACTCTAGGTCTGCAGGCCAGCTCTCTGCACAGCTGGGCTCTGAGCTGGCAGCTTTGGGGTGACCTCCGTGCCACCACCTTTCTCTGGCAGCAGAGGACTTGAATGAGACCGGAGCCACCTAGGGGCAGGTCTTCCCCCACGTTGGCCTGCCACACCACTGTTCCCACTCGCCAGCCCAGGCGTGTCCTCTCAGCTACAGCTGCACAGCCCGGCCCTCTGTCCCTGGGCCCGGGGCTCTGTGAAGCCCCGTGTTTCTGTAACTTGGGATGATTTAACACTGCCTCTCAGAGTTGGTCCTGGAAGGAGCTTTTTTTTTGGTGGGGGGGGGACCCTTATTTTGTGTCTGGAAGCTGACTAGGTATTGTGATCATTTTTCTCTTTCCCTGAGCGCAGAAGGGAAGGATATAAATTTTTTTTTAATTTATTTATTTGACAGTGAGAGAGGGAACAGAGCAGGGGGAGTGGGAGAGGGGGAAGCAGTCCTCCCGCCGAGCAGGGAGCCCGATGCGGGGCTCGATCGCAGGACCCTGGGATCACGACCTGAGCCGAAGGCAGACGCTTAACGACTGAGCCATCCAGGCGCCCCTGGGAAGGATATAAATTTTTATCATGCAAAGAACCACAGCCATTTGGTTAGGAAAATTCATTGCTGTGAATACTCTCATTTTCTGCTTAATGTCCATGTTCATTTAGTGTGACACATTGTGTCCAGCAAAAGGGAGACCGGCTATCTGCCTGAGACATGGCTACCAGCCTGTAAAGCCGCGCTGACCATCTCCCTGGCGTATCCCGATGGCTGCCGGGCCCAGGGGCTGAGGAAGACAGCTCCTCGGGGTGGCATTGTTAGGAGGCCAGAATGGAGAGGCTCTGGCTGGGCAGAGGTGGGCCCAGTGTTGGACCCGGGTTGGATGGGGCTGGCAGATCCCAGGCAAGCCTGGAGCCAGTCCCCACTGGGGAGGAGGCCCTGGGGCCCCCCACTCTCCCTGCTGCCTCCCTGGGGCACCTGAGCTCGGCAGCCCGCTTGGCATTTCCTGCACTGGTGGGGCTGCCAAGGAGCCAGTGCCTGCCGTGAGGCCCTCACTTTGTGTGGGTGCTCCCCTAGGGGAGCGGATCAGGGGCCTTCAAACTCGAGAGGCAGGTGGAGGGCTCTTTAAGCTGGGGCTTCATGGGTCTGAATTAAGGCTTTTGTTTCTGCTTCCTCCCTCATTCAGATTTTGAACAAGAAAGCCTGCCCTGTGATTAGGCTAATCCCACGGTAGTTATAGCTTTGCATGAAATGTTTGCACACCGAAGGGCACAGAGAGCGGAGTTGCCCAGAACACACGTACAACTGCATCAGGGGCTCCCGGGATGTAGGGTGGCGACTGCCCGCGTGGGCTGATGCCCTTGTGTCCGGGTCTCTTAATGTAGTGACAAGGCGAGTGTTGCCATCCCTCTAAGGCTCACTCGGGCCCTCCCCCCAGGTCCGACAAGCTGGTCCTGACTTCCGCTGCTGCCAGCACCCCTGTCCTCCTGGGCCTCGCCAGGGCCGGCATTGGTCCCTGCACCTTGGCAGCCGGCCTTGGCCCCATGGTTCCCAGGCCCTCTTCCTGGCCAGGGGTCCCCTCAGCAGCCAGAGGGACTTGTCCACAGTTTCAAGGGTACCGATAAAAACAAACCACAGCCCCTCTTCCAGCCCTCCCTACCCCTCATGATCTGGAGACTCCAGAGTCTGTCTGGTTTTGCTTTGGCGTTTTCCTACTTCAGCTCATTTGAAGGGAGTTCTCCGAGTTCTTGGATTCTGCATTCTGCAAAGAATAACGATTATTTGATGAATTGGGGGCAGGGATGGAGTGAAAACCAATATTGTTGATAATCCTTGCTCACAAAGGCAAGACCCGAAATTACCTTCAAGAAGGCAGGACGCTTGTTTGCTTATGAGATTTCAGCTCTCCACATGTGGTCAAGGACACCCACTTTGGAATGGCTGAGCTGGCACCGACTTTCTCCCAGATGTGCCCTCTGTCGGCAACTCAGAGCTGGTGGCCTGAGAAGGGTGGGCCCCCGTGACTGGGAGGTGGGAGCCGGAGGCCCAGAGCACCGAGGTGGCTCCATGGGAGGAGCTGCCTGGCCGTCTGCCCTACCTCCTTGTCCAGCTCCCCATCCACATAGTGCAAGAGGTTAGGGAGGGCCCCGGGGGGCTGCAGAAATAAGCCGGTTTTGCCAAAATCAGGAGACTGCCTTCCTGTGTCCTCAGCAACGTGACATGAGGGTCTGGAGCTGTCCTGGAGGGTGTGGCCGGTGGCTGGCTGGCTCCTGCTGGAGGGTCCACGTCACAGAGGCAGGAAGGCTCCAAGACAGGCCGGGACAGCCCCGTTGTCCAACAGCGGGGTTCCCCCAGTACCTGCATGCTGTGGCTGTCTGAGAGGCGGTCGGCCTGCACCGTGGCCACCACTGGAAAGAGGGAGCAAAGGGCACTGCGTGTTTGGCGTTGACACTTTTACCCAACTTCATGGGATGTTCAAAGCAGTTCAATTCTGCTTGCATTTTAAGTAACTCAGAATTTCACGTCTTAAAGAAAAGCCTGTACCGTTCACCATATACATCAAGTACAAAAGACATTAGGTTATGTCATTCTGAAAACGTCCCTACACAGAGACCTATTACACATATGTGTGGCCACGTACACACGTGGATACGCATGTACGCCAACGTGTCTATCTCTTAGACATTGCCAGGCCTGTGTGGGGCCCTGGGTGCCTCTCGGTGCTCCTACCAGCTGCGGGGCCCAGTGTCCCTCTCAACTTTTTCACACGGTGAGCTCTGTTCACTCGCCCCGAACGTGACTCCAGCCCGGTTCTGTCCCCAGCCCCTGAGAGGAAGCCGTGTGCAGTTGCTTCCCGCAGGGCACCTGCAGCAGTATTCCACGGGATATACTGCTTTTTGAAATGGAATTATATCATTAGTACTTGCCGGGATTAGTGCTGACGTTGGGCTTATCCATCCTTACATCACCTCCTCTTATTCAAAGGCTGAGGGGGTGATCTGACAAGCCCACCCACATGTTGCCACCCGGGCGGGAATTTTCGTTCCGTGTTAGGTTCTGCGCACGTGTGTGTATGTGTGGTTGTGTGCGTGTGTGTTCATGCGTGCAGAGTGGAGCTGGGTCCCAGTGTCCTGTGTCTCCCTCTGCCCCCAGGTGCCCTCATAGTTGCTGCGGGGAGCTGGCTGTCCTGGCCCCGGCCCGTGTGTGGTGGGGCTGGACAGGTTCGAGGATGTTCTGGCCCCAGCCGCTGCTTTCCCAGAAGCCTCCCTATTGTCCCGTGCTCTCCCTGTCCTGCAAAGCAAGTCTGCTTCCATCTTGGCTGCCGAAGATCTGGAGGGACCCCATGGCAGAATTTACGTTAGGACAGAAGGAAAACCATTCCCCTTGTTCTAATGGGACTTTTCTTCACACGCCCGTGGACTCCACATTGATCGCACTCCCAGGACCCTTCATGGGACATGTGCTGTTCTGTCACTGACCACTCACATCCTTCACCACCAGGCAATTTTCTGATTCAGTGACACTGTGTTTGTCATTTATTTCACAGTCAGAGCCTCTGGGAAGTGGGTTTTGTGCCTTGGGACAACCTGTTTGAACAGTTAGCCTCAGCTGACTCATCAACAGTGACACGTCAGCTGACCGGGCGCCCCCGGAAAGCTGAAGGGCCCCGTCCCCCCTGCGGAGGCCCCAGTCAGGACAGCTGCACATGGGCCACGGTGGGCCACGTGTGGGACTCACCGTTCTTTCTGTGTCCGTTCCTCAAACAGGTTGGTGGTCGGGGCCAGCTGTATCCTTTGCGGGCATGCAGGTGACAGCCGGCTGTGCTCACAGTCCTGAGAGTGGATGCCCGGTTCCTACAGCCCCTCCCCCACAGCCCTCCCTTCCGGCAGGGAGGACGTCTGCCGCCTGGAGCCAGGCACTTACAGGGCCACTCAGGGCAGATGACCTGCACTCAGGGGACAATTTGAGGCTGACCTTTGAGGCTAGGGCTTCCTGGAGGCGTTTCCTGAGCCACACGCTGAGATGGCTGAGCCCATCAGGCCAGCTGGATACAGCCGTGAGGCAGGTGGTGCTCCCTGGAGAGCAGCCCCATCCAGGCCCGTTCCTTCAGAGGGAGCGGTAACACCGGAGACGGTCAAGGGAGGAGCCGTGGGAGGATCTGAGGTCAGGAGAGGGGATAGCAGAGGGAAGGTGAAAGCTGGGACTGCTAGCTGGGAACATGGGTCGAAGGCAGCTATTGTGTTTCTTTTGCCAAGGAGACTCTTCCCTCTGTCACTGCTCGGATCCCTTGGGGGTTGGGGGGGGAGGGCCTGGCCCCAAAGGCTGACTAAATTAAACTGCCTAGAGCCTGGACAAATGCCCCATGGAGGCAGAAGCCGCCTGGGCCCTGGGTATTGGAGGGTGCCCATGTCCCGTGGCTACCAGAGTCCCTACCTCACCTTGGACATACATTTATGAGGTTGGGGCGGGGGGGGGGGGCGTTGGACAGGGGTCTTTGTGGTTGGTGTTGGGAGCCTCCTCCAGGCTGACTGGAGATTGGTGGGGGAGTGGGTGGCTGGCCAGGGCACTGAGGGTCTCGTCCCTTGGCTCCTGATGTCACGATCCATTAGCATTCTTAGCTTCTGGCAGATGTGGCCCTGGAGTGTGCTGGCTTCCTCACTGGGCTCGGACTGGACACCACCGTCATGATAAGAAGCATCCCCCTCCGGGGCTTTGACCAGGTATGGCCACGTGTGCCCCAGCTCCCACCCTGTGCTCTCTCCCAGGCAGGTGTGGGTGTGGTCTGGCAGTGAGGTCTCAGTCTTTAGAAGCTGGCCCTTGAGTTGAGTAAGGAGATTGTTACTGAAGTAGAAAACACCTGCCAGAGTGTGGAAGGAAGGGCTGGCCCATGGAACATGTGGCAACATGCTCCCTGGACCAAAGGGATGTTGGTGGGCACGCCAGGCCAGCCTCACGGACCACGGGGTTGGGTCAGCCCTTCTAGTCACTCCATTAGTAAGCAGAAAGCATGGGTCGGCTAACTCGCTGTCCCCCATCTCCCTTGCTGAGCCCCTCTGGTGTCTGAGTGGGGTGCCACCTCCGCAGGGGCAGCACCAGGTCGGAAGCAGGTGCTAGACTGGTAAGGCCCTGCATGACCACCTCAGGAGAGGGCAGCCCCTGGCTGCCTTCCTAGTCACCGCCACAGACTGAAAAGATGTGATTTATGAGTCAGGACGAGCACTATGGTGGCTCTCCTGGCCGGCGGTCCACCCTGAGTGCTCAGAGCGTCCCCACAGCCTCTGGGGCCCCGCCGGTTCCACATCCTGTCCACTGTATGGGGCCAGCACCTCACGCAGCCTGCCTGTCAGGCGTGGCAGGAGCTCAGAGGGCCACCCTGCGGGGTCTGAAGAGTGCAGGTTTTCCTGATCCGCGTCTGGGGCATAGACACCCCTGCTCACGGCGGAGGCATTCATGTCAGGAGCACGTGGTTTGCTGGGGTTTTTTAACTAAAAACTCTTCAAGGAAAAGTCACCTGTTAAAACCAAAGTCTGGGGCTGTTGCCGTGAAGATGTCAAAATGCCCTCTCATGTGTCCGAGAAGGAAGACAGACCCCCGTCCATCAGTGCTCTCCGGCCTGGTGAGCTCTTGCAGAGGGAAGCAGTGGGCCTGCCCCCAGCCCCACCCCAGCCGGCGGACGTGGATACCTGGCCCTCGGTGCTGTTCGGGGCCACGCGCTTTCTTTTCTTCTTTTCTTTTTTTTAAAGATTCTATTTATTTGTCAGAGAGAGAGAGAAAGAGCAAACAAGCAGGGAGAATGGCAGGCAGAGGGAGAGGGAGAAGCAGACCTCTCCCCGCTAAGCAGGGAGCCCGATGTGGACTTTCCTGGGATCATGACCTGAGCCGCAGGCAGGCGCTTCACGGACTGAGCCACCCAGGCACCCCTCTTTCACTTCACTCCGCACTCATGTACTAAGTATCCACAGTGGGGCCATGGCATCCAGGGAAGGTCTGTGGAACCTCGGGCTACGGGTGGAGTGTGCCAGGCAGCAGACAGGAGCTGCACGAGGCCATGTTGCAGGACACAGAGAAGGACAAGGGCCTGTGAAGCAGAGGGGCCTGTAGGCATGAGGACCACTCAGAAGACTGGCCTTCCAGCCCAGGCAGAAGTCGGAGACCGACGAGAGGGGGTGCCCTGGGACACGGGGGCGCAGTGGTGAGGCCGGATGGCCCAGGCCCTGCCTCAGAAGGTTGTGCAGCCCTGGTGGCCAGCCTACGGCCGGTGGTCTGGCCCCTTGGCTCACTTGGGCCCAGTAGTTCCCCCACAGACTGTGACAGAGACTCCAGGCTTGTCAGGCGTCCAGAGGGATCAGCAGCCTACACTTGTGTTCTCGTGACTGGTGTGACAATCCTGAACAGGCAGGACTCCTCATGATGTATGTTTCTAAATGAGCAGGCACCAGAGGATTTAAACAGTGGCTTTCATTTTTTCTTCAAAGAAAAGGCTGTGTCCGACTGGGACTCTACCCTGTACAAGCCCCCCTAGCAGCCCCAGGAACTGAGCCCCCATCTGTAGCCAGGGGGTGCAGAGCCTTCTAGGCTGGGAGGAGGGAGCCCTCTCAGCAGATGCCCTGACCACCCCCACCCCCCCCCACCATGCCTGCTACCTTGTATATCTTGGTGGGGAGCAGAGGGGCCCCCCTACTGTCCCAACTCCCCAGTGGCAGAGGAGGTGACAGCATTTGGTGGTTGGGGGGGTTGCCGAGGGAGGGGTGGCAGGTTTGGAGTCAAGTGCCATCTCGTTTGGCCAGGCCAGAGCCCCCAGGGGAAGGGGGTGTTTCTCTGTCATTGCTTTTAGTGAAGACTTAGTTAATCGGCATGTAGAGAAGAGCCGAAAGGTCAAGTGCATCCTGACCCAAGGGCCCCAGGTCCTCGGATTTGGAGCTGGCATCAGATGCTGTCCCAGCTCAGCCCTCAGGTCCACAGAGAACAAGGGGACCCAGAAGTGGGGGTGGACTGAGGCCACGTAGCAGCAGAGGAGGGGCCTTGGACCTTCTCCTCTGGATGGACCTTTCTTGGGCTCCTCTAGGGCTTTTTCAAGCAGGCAGGAGGCCACGTCCTTTCTTCCCACAATCATCAGGAGTGGATCTTCTCACTGCCACCTGGGCCTCACAGCATGTTCTCTTGTGCTTTGCAGCAAATGTCTTCCTTGGTCACGGAATACATGGCCTCTCAAGGCACCCAGTTCCTGAGAGGCTGTACCCCCTCAAGAGTGCGGAGGCTCCCAGATGGCCAGCTCCAGGTTACCTGGGAAGACCTCACCTCCGGCAAGGAGGACGTGGGCACCTTCAACACTGTCCTGTGGGCCACAGGTAAGGGTGCACTGAGCCACACGTGAGCCACACGGAGGGCAGCAACACCGCCTCCCCTTGCTGCTGTCGCCAGGCCTCCCCTCGTCCTGCTGGCTTTCGGGGGGGCCAGCTATCACAGCACACCTCTTGGGCCATCATAACAGCCCGTGGGGTCGTTTCCATCACCTCGGGGGGGGGGGTTGGTTTGAGCTCTGCAGGAGTGGATGCCCAACTGGCCTTTGTGGAAGTCACACTTTGTAGATTTCCAAAGATGGCATCAGTGATGGGGCAGAGGCCTTGGGCAGAATTAGCCCATTGCCGGACGTACTCCCTCCCAGGCTGGCTCCTCCCTGCACCCCAAGGGGCAGGATGGAGAGTGGGGATGCAGTGGGGGAGACGCCTGCCCAGGGCCTGGGCCTCGGCCGGTCTGAGGGAAGGGACGTGGGCTCTGAGGAAAGGCGCCCTGGCCAGGAGCCAGGCGGGAAGAGCAGAGAGCTCACCGTGTCCCTCGTGAGCCTGCCTGTGGCTGGGGCACGGTGTTGCCGTGAGTGGGGTCTGGCCTCAGAGGGCTGACGGGTTCTGGGGCTGACTGCAGCACACACCTGCTCGGACATCGTGCCCACCTTGACAGCTGCATCCTCTAGGGTCGGAGTCTCGTTTCCTTAAGCCCCCTGCGTCTTTCTTTCTCTCGATATTTCCAGTTCGCCGGGGTCTCTCTGCGCTGAGCCCAGTCAGTTGTCCCTCCTCTGTGAACCTGGGCTCGGAATCCACGTAGCTGTCAGAATCATCATCCGCCTCCACGTCAGTTAATCAGATGTTTGCTGAGTGCTCAGAGGAGCAGTCACGTCAGCGTCTGTCAGGACCTGGTTGGCCTGGTCCCAGCATCCCCTGCAGTGAGGCTCCCGGGAGGAGCAGGGCTGCATCACAGAGCAGTGGACTTCCGAGAAGCCTCTCTGGTTTCCCTGAGTTCTCAGAACGCTTGGAAGTCAGACCATGAGATAGACTCTGGAGGAGTCTGAGCTCTTCCTTGTGTGTGGTCAGCACGAGCAGATCTAAGGAGCAAGGAAAATGCTTTGCAGTTAATGTACTGCCTCTTGCCCAGAATTTAGTAGACGACCACAGGAGATATTCTTGTTCAAATCGTGAAAGTAAATTGAAGTAGGTTTATTTTGTTGAACGCTCCGAAAGATTTTTTAACTATTTAGATCCGGAAGCGTAAATTGACATTTATCTTAAACTCCATTCTAAAAGGTGAGGTGGCAAGTTTCTCCCCTCCCATCTGCACCCCCAGCCTCTTCCTTTGTCCCCTGATATCACTTCGGGGACCCCAAACACCCACATCCCTTCTCTCGCCATTGGACAGAGGCAAAGGCTCATGCCCATGTGCCATCCACTAAGCCCACGCTGATGGCAATGGCTCAGAGGGCAAGGGGCTGTGCCCTCGGAAAGCCTCAAGGTCCTCCCAGCTTCCAGACAGGTCCCTGGTGGGCGACATGCAGGGCCTCTGGCGCACTGCCTGCCCTCGCCTCTGCAGGAGTCCGTTTTATTTTCTGTATTTTCAAAAAGAGCATCCCCCAGACAGTCTGCCCGACGTGATTGATGCTGGGGGTGGAAGCTTTCACAGTCCTTGGCCTTTGACCTTGCTCCCCGAGGCGGCGCTGCGGCGGCGGCGGTTTCTGGCACGCCTCCTGGGGCTGTACGGGCATGTGCTGACTTTGCTGCTTGCTCCTGGGCCAGGTTTTGTAAACAATCCGGAGCCACTTCCCAGTTTAACAGCTGGGAATGTTTTCTGCTGGTTTACCCCATAAGCCTTTAACCAAGCATCATTTCTGCTCGCAATAAAGGATGATCCGATCCAGGAGGTTAAAATAAAACACCCCCCACCCCGGGGCTGGGGGCTGAAGGGCTGGCACAGCAAACAGCTCCCGGATCACACGTCCTGCCGCAGTAGCGAGCGCTGTGAGCACACAAGCTGGGCTTTGACGCGTGTTAAAGACAGGAGGGGAAGGATGCCCCTCGTGTCCGGAGGACACATGCTGAGGCCCATGAGGAGCTTCCATGGGGCTGAGCTTGGGCCTGGCGCCTCGGTCACAGCTGGTGAGGACAGTATGCACAGGGATGGCGAGGTGGGCCCTGCAGTCTGCAAGCCCGGGAGGACTCCGAGCCTCTTCCTCGGCCCAGCCTTGATCTCCACGTGGTGGATTAAACACATTAGCAGTTAAAGCAGTTAATTGCTGTGCAGGGGGCCGGCTCATTGTTTGTCTCTGAATCACCCACCCACACCAGGTGTCTCAGATAATAGACTGGGAACTCGCAGTGAGGAGGATTTCCTGTCTGCAGATGTGCCGATTACAGTGCTGAGTGAAGCCAGTCAGCCTGCACCGCGCCGCGGGCTCGAATTCACCCTGCGCAGTTAACCAGTTGTGGCCTGAATCCTCGGCCATCGTGGGGGGTGGAGGGGAGCAGGGGCAGGACAGGGCAGCCGAGGGGACACTTGGCGTGGAAACGCTTCTGAGCTGGAGCTCAGCTGAGGTTTAGCTTCGACTTTGTTTCGGAGGCTGGACGGGGGGCCCCTGGAGGAGAACCCTGGGAAAGCCGGCTGCTAAAACTGTCCCGTGCCCCTCAGCGTCTCTGGCCTCTAGAAGGTTTCCTGTCCCCCTCTCGAGGCAAGGGTGGAGGCTCTGGCGCATCCCTCCCTGGGCCACAGGAGTCCTGCCCACGGTCAGAAGGCCCAGACGGCTGGTGTTCCCACCGTCCGGGGTGCTGGGAAGGGCTGTCCTGGCCCTGCCTCAGCAGCCCCCTTGGTCTGTTAGGAATCAGCCGTTTCCTCTTCCTCAGACTTTGTCTAGTTGCCCACCTGTGTGTAAAACCCACAGATAACTTCTGAGCCTCTAAAATGGTATAGAGCCAGAAGGCACTGGGGGCCTGGCTTTCCAACTTTTTTTTTTCTAAATTTTATTTATGTATTTGGGAGAGAGAGCACGGGGGTGGTGGTGGTGGGAGGAGCAGAGGGAGAGGGACAGGCAGACTCCACGCTGAGCACGGAGCCTGAAGCGGGGCTCAATCCCACCACCCTAAGATCACAACCTGAGCTGAAATCAAGAGTCAGACCCTCAACCGACTAAGCCACCTAGGCGCGCCCCGCCCCGGCTTTCCAGCTTCTAATCCAACCCCCATATTGAGGACCCCACTCCATGTACAGCCCACCTACACAGAGTGTGGCCATGGACCACAGCCAGGGAGGTGGTGGCATCCTGGAGACAATGAGGGGGCCCGCGGTGCCCAGGGAGTGGAGTGCGTCTGCCTGGGGTGGGGTGGGGGCTGCAGCCCAGGGATCCCCTCTCTACCGCGGGGACTGCTGGCTCGGGTTTCCACGAGGCCGCCTTGCTCAGCTGCATTCAGCTGATGGCTCCGTGCCACAGACACCCCCCTTCGAGTCCTTGTGGAATATCCCCCCGCCCCGAGTGCTGGGTAGCAGCACTGGGAGCTGGGGGCAAAACGGAAGTGAGCCCCCGAGGCTGGGCATTCATGGGCGGGGGTCTCTGAGTCCAGCACGAAGGATGGAGCAGTCCAGGCCCCCGGGCCTCCTGACAGCTGTGAGAGCCCAGGCTCTCCACGGCTGGCGCTGGACTGCTGGAGACGGGCCGGCAGGCGGAGCATGGGTGCGACCTTGTTGAGAGAAGCCCAGTCCAAGGGCACCGGGCCTGTTCTTTGGGCCTGTGTCTTGCTGTGGCTGTAGGAAGCTGCGTGTGGCCGTGTTCTTCCCAGGGGGTACTTCGGAGTGACCTGACCACCTGTCCCACACGCAGACTCCCCGGCTCACCTAAGGCCCACCTGTCTCCGCCGTCCAGGCCTGAAGAGAAGCACTGCTCTGCTCGTGAGCCCATCATATCCCAACACCTTTTCATTTCAGTGTAAACGTCAAGTGTGTAACTAGCAACGTGAAGAGAAACTCAAATCTGTTTGTGTATGTGGTGTGCTTTCTCGGAGGGAAAGAGGATGTTCATGGAGCTCTTCCTGTAGGCACCTCCCACAGGCTGAGGGAAGTGGCTGGGCCTGAGACCATGGCCTTCGCCACCACACCGTGTGGCCCCTGCTTGTGAACCAGCACCACTGACTCGGTGGCTGTCATTTGTCTCAGCTCTGGCTCACTGTGGCGCCAACCCATTGCAGAGGCCAGGCAGGGGCAGTGGGAAGGCGGCACCTGGGCTAACAGACTGGCCCTCTGGCCTCTGCCCTCTGCTTGGGATGCCCTGCACCGCCACGGGGCCAAGAGCCGTGCCAGGCCTGCGAGCCAACTCCTGCCCGTGTCCAGGGTCACCTTGACCCCCACAGCCGTCAGACCCAGGCCAGCCTGCCTTGGCACTCATGGTCTTTGTACCAAGTCAAACTCAATATTTATGGTTATAACTTGGTAGAAGCCAGTTGCTTTAAAAAAAAGAAGAAAGACATAGTGAAAATGCTTCTAAAGGTAAATAGACATCGTTTTTGTGCATTAATGTGCACTAGCTAAATTTTGCAAGTTCTACTGGGAGCCATCAAGCAGCAGGAAGGTTATATTGACATTTGTAATTGTTATAGCAATAATTACCACCTGCCAGGGAACGTGTTCCTTCCTGGGGGTTCCCGTGGACCAAACTGCAGCAGGGCCTGAGCTGGAGGCTCCACCAAGTTCCAGGGCTGGCTGTGGGCGTTTAGGAGCCCATGTGAGCTTATTTTATGTGTTGTCAGTGCTGCACACAGGCTTGAATAGGAAACGCCCATGATGTGTTTCGGGGCGGGGGGGAAGGGACAGCAGTGAGCAGTGTCATCAGGATGACCGGGGTGGGGGCAGTGGCAGGTGCTGGTGGTCACAGTAAGCCGCCAGCCTCAGGTCATGCTAAGGTTCACTTATTCATTCAGCAAACATTGAGCCCTACCTAGGCCCCAGGGCAGCAGGACGGGTCCTCTGCCCTGCTCTTGGAGGACTTAAGGTTGTGGCTGGGGTTCTGGGGCTCTTGTAGAAGGGGCCATTCGAGAAAATAAAAGGAGCCCTTTGCTGTTGTTATCCTTTCCCCTAAAGTCTCAAAGATGACAAGAGACACATAATAAATTTTTTAAAAGGTAGGCCTCGAGGGATCTGACTAGGGGTGGCAAAGGTGTGAGTTCCGCCTTCTGCGTCTGGTCCAGGGTGTCCCACAGGCCAGCCTAGGGGGAGTGGCTGGTTCTGGGGGGCCATGCATGTGCCCCCCGGGAGGGGTGCCCAGGCCCTCCGTGAGCCTGCGGGAAGCTGCTGGTTCAGCCTCCTGGACCCCCATCCTCCTGGCACTCGCTGCCTCTGTGTGATCAGAGCCCCTCATTCGCCCTGTCATACTCCTGCTGACACCTAAATCTTACCTCATTACACGGATTGCCCTTCACTCGTCGGAACGTGCGCTCTAGGCAGGCGTGAAATTGGAGGGAATGCCCGTTTTCCTGCAGTGGGCAGAAAGAGGCCCAGGAAACTGCATGTTGTCTGTGTCCCTGGGCCCAGCTGTGCAGGTAGGAATGACCAAAGCCGCCATCTGGGGAGTCTTTGACCTCCAGCCTTCTCCAGCCTTCTCCAGCCTTCTCCAGCTGGCTGGGTGAGCGTGGTGGCTGGGCTGCCTCCCTGGGCCCGTAGCCGCAGCTGGTGGGACTCCAGTGCCTCGAGGGGAGGGCTGGCCTGGTGCAGCTGCCCCGGGAGCTCTCAGGCTGAATGCGGCTTCCTGCACCATTTCAGGGTCCCGGGGTGTCCTGGATGCTGGGCACCACGAGGGAGGGACTGTCTTACCTCGGTGACACCACGGGTGACGTGGTCCCTTAGAGGGACTGAGGGCAGCGGACAAGGCTGAGCTTGGTGAGGGAAGCAGCTCCAAGGGCCCATTCACACATTTATTTGGACATTGCCTCTGAGGGGGAAGTGAGAACATGTTTGCATCTGGAATCTTAATGCCCTCGTTTGCGGTAAATATGATGGAATGTCATTCACGTATCAGATGCAAAGCTCTTACAAGGCAATCAAGTCATGGAGATATGTAGAAATAAATGAAAAAAGGCAAGGAATGGGCAGTTCACAGAAGGAAATACAGCTGCTGAATAGTGGCCCAAAGTACTTAGTTTTACTGGTAAATATACTGGCAATCAAAGAAGGGGAAATTAAAACATCGGCTGGAGGGAAGGAGCAAGCCCCAGAAGGAGCCTTTCAGCCAGGCGCAGCTCCCGGCTTTGGGCCGGGGAAGCCTCACCTGGCTGGCTGGCCTTTCTCTGAGGACTGTCCCAAGGAACTAAACTGACACGTGGACAGACTGCCATCCCCATCCCCGTGTGGCCAGGGAGCAGAGATGCGGGAGCCAACCCAGGGAAGCCATTCAGCAGCGCTGGCAGACCCAAGCTGGGTGCCAAAGAGCCGAGGCCCCAGAGAGCAAGAGATCCCGCAAGGCATGGAGCAAATGACCTGCTGGGGGTGTGGAAAGCACCATGTGCGACATACAGGGTGATGTACTTGGGCGGGGGGTGCCATGGAGGCACCCATCTTCCCCCAAATCACCTGAAGAGTCCTACCTTTGTTTTTGCATAAGAGGAAAATGGTGAGGGAGAAGACTTTGCATGTTGCCTGGGTCTTGCTTCTGGCCATGTACGTCTAACCTGGACTGGGCATTGTCCATGGGACTAGAGCTGCCCTGCTTGTATGGCTAGCCACTGGGTCCCCACCCGAGCACCCATGCTGTGCCTTCCTCGGGGGCTCCAGGCCTGAGCTGGGGGGGGCCCCACACCATCTGACTGTGGGGAGACATGACTCTGCTCTGAGCACAAGGCAGCGGAACTTTGAGGGTCATGGGGTATGTCTGTCCCTCCTCCATGACCCTTATCCAGGTTGTTTGCTCAGTGAGGCCCGCGTCCCGGCTGTGGCCCGTGGAGCTGGCGGGGCCTACCACAGCTCTGGGGCATGGCTGCACAGAATGGTGTGCCTGGGTGGAGCTGGGCCCCCTGCCGACCTCAGGCCTCCCCCACACAGGCCCTGCCAGCACGGCTTCCAAAACCCGAAGTGCCCATGGCTGCCCTTTTAGGGCTGTTTCTGACTGTTTGGGGCAGCCTCTCATTTCCTTCACTGTTCATTCCAGAAGCATCGATGGAGTGCCTTCCACAAGTTGGGCATATTCTGTCTACCCCCACTGCTGTTACTCCTTTTAAATTTATCTTCATATTCTTTAAGACCTTGGATGTGGTTAGACTGACATCTGTGAGGTGTGTGGTTACCGCGGTTACCAGGAGGCACAAGGAAACACCCCTGGCCTCCCAGGACCAGCCAGGCAGGAGTGCAGCGTGGCCAGCGTCACAGCAATCGATCGCCAGGAGGTCGTGGGCCTGGCCAGCTGTTGTATGCCCTGCTCCCCAGAACCGGGAGTCTGGGGAGGAGCCTGAGGGCTCAGCTATGAGTCCTCTGCCTGCCGGGACTTTCTCGGCCCACCCAGCAGACCCCCACCAGGGCTGCCCACTGGGCCCAGCTCCTTCCTTGCTGAGGCCCAGCACCTTCCAGTCCCTTCCTAGGTGCACGAGAGCTCTCAGGCACCAGCTGGATCCCCTGCTCGGGAATCAGGCCCGGGCCCCCACACCGCCTCCTCCAGGCAGGACACTGGCCAGTATGCCCTGTGGCGCTCTGCACGCTCATGCGTCTCCGTTCACGTGACTAGGGCCAGCGTCAGTGGCATCAGGAGGCAGAGACCTCCGGAGCCTCAGGTCGCGTCGCCGGTGTCTGGTATGCTGGGCGACGGGTGTCAGCCCGCCCAGCACCTGATTCCTGCGGCCAGGAAGAGTGAAGAGGCTGGAGCCGGCTCCCCATGAACTTGAGAAGCACGGCTTAGTCGAGTCTCTGTGTTTTGACTTCCCACTCTGGGAGAGCAGCTGGAGACTTAAGGTTTCCCTTTCACAGGACTTGGTCTTCCAGATGTTCAGCCTGGCACCACCCACTACCCGACCTCTCGTGTATCTGAGCCACCACGAGCTGTGGGAACTGTGCCTTTGACACTGTTCATCTTTGCCTTCAGGGCATTCCAGGAGCCTCCAGGAGCCCTGAGGGGCTGCCACTGCCCTCCCAGGGCCCAGCAGGATGAGTTGCCTTTGCCACCCCTTGGCTTAGTGAGGCCACATTGTCTGAGTTAGGGGAGAAAGGGACCTCTGCTGGCAGCTCAGCTGTGACAAGGCCCAGGGATGGAAGCCTGTGAAGCCTGGCAGGGAGGCTGGTGCCGCCATGCCCAGCCCCTGCTGGCTTTGCACCTGGGAGTTGCTCATCAGGATTAGCTCAAATGACTGCAACCAAGGATGGCTATGGTGTGTGGTTTGGGCTCTGCCATTCTGTCCGTCTCTATTTCCGGCTCTAGAGGTCTCCGAGCTGGGGATGTCTGCTGGCCAGGTGCCACGAGAGGAGGAGCTAAGGGCTTGGAGTGTGCAGCTGCCCAAGGCCGGGCCTCTAGCCCCACTTGCTCATCCCCTGCGCTGGCTGCCCTGAGACCCCGAGCAGGGCGTAAGTCCGTGCATTCTTGCCGCCTGTTCTGGAGGATGTCCTGCTGCCCAACTCTGGGGACACAAGGCCACAGCCTATTCACACAGACCCAATCTGGTGGCAGGATAGAAGTGTAAATCCACCACGAAGCACCATCCCGAGTATGAGCCTGCAGGAAGAGCAACCTGTGGGAGGATGGGGAACCCCGGGGTCACGGACGGAGTGGGAGGGAAGGGCCATGTGGGGACTCAGCAGGCTGTCGGCTCACTTGGGGCCCACGGGCACACTCCACAGAGACTGAGACACACACATGCACACACCCCGGCGCCGCTGGAAAATGCTAGCAGAGGGCTGGAGCCACGGCTTCTATGAGAGGCCTGGGTGGCATATATTCCATGTCTTCCCCTCAGGGCCTGATGCCTGCAGACGCTGCAAGGCCCTGTCCTGTTGTGTCTGCAGCTGTGGCTATGGTGACCTTTGATCCTGCTCTGCTGTGTCCACAAGACATCCAAGCCTGAAGTGGGCTGCCTCCCCAGAGCCTGGCCCCTGCGGGGGGAAGCGTTGAGGTCACCGTCCAGGGATGGGGCGTGCATACTCTTGGGTCATCGCTACTTCTAGACATTTTCTGTGGTCAGAGCCATAGGAACTTTGTATTGAAAAAAAAAAAGGAGAATCAATGAATTTCCGATTCAAATTTGACTTTACGGGGTTTTAACTGTCTTCTTTCCAATGGCACGTAAGATCTGTCTGCAGCTTTATTGTTAGGATATAATCGTTCTAGGACGTACGGTGGAAATATGGGTTGCCGTAGTCTCCTGAGTGAATTATCTTTGTATGTGCTGGGTTATCAAATGCATATAATTAGGCCCATTTGTTTCAGATTATTTACAAGTTACAGCGACTTTTTTTTCCCATTTTTATTTTTTGTTGTTTGAATATATAAAACGTATATGATTTAAAAAACCAAAATTGTATCATAGGATGTATTTAGAGAAGTCTTGTCCCATTCTCTGCTTCCTCCACCCCTTTCCCTTCCTTTCTGTTCCTCCTCATCCTGCTTCATCTTCTCGTTGATTCTTTGTGCAAATAAAGGTGTGGGGGTGTATGTGTATATGTTCGTGTGTGCGTGTGAGGCCACAGAGGCCGGGAGCCCCTAGACGTTGTTGCACTTGATGTTTTACCAATTCCAAGCGGGCATGCTGAGAAGCATTCTGAATAAACCAAGGAATCTCAGTCGGAACTGCTAAAAGTCTTTCAGCCTTGCTGTTTATTTCCTTCAGGTCGAATTCCAGAAACCAGAAGTCTGAATCTAGAGAAGGCTGGAGTGAAAATCAACCCCAACAGTCAGAAAATCCTGGTCGATGCTCAGGAAACCACCTCCGTCCCCCACATTTATGCCATCGGAGACGTAGCAGAGGTATGGCCTGCACCTGCCACCTGGCCTCATCACCCCATCCCCCCACCCCAGCTGGGCCTTGGGGCCCTAACGAGGCTCACAGAGGCTCTGGGCCAAACCCCAAGTATTGTTAGACTCAAGTTCTGGGAAGGATTGGGCACCAGCCTCTGCTTGCTCGAATGTTCCTCCTTTCTATGGGGGGTAGGGGGGTGGGGAAGGCTTAAAAACTAAAAGCGCCATCAACGAATTCCTCTTGTGAACCTCCCCATATGTCAGCTCTGAGGGAGGGACATCTGTTTGTGCACAACATGGGCCTCGACTTCCTGAAGGTGGGCTGGAGGTACAGAGCCCTAAAAATGCTGCTGCTGGTCAGAGCCTTGGGGCTCTCTGGCCCTGCAGCACTGGGCCTGACCTCCTCGCCTCAGTTTACCCTCTCATCTGTGGACGGGTCAGTACTCTCCCTTACTGGGCTGTCAGACAGGGACATAGCCCCACTCACCAGGCCTCCCTGCTCCTCCCCTTGTGAGTCCCTGGCGGAAGCCCTGCCCCTGGCCTGGGATGCATCTGGTCGGCGCCCCTCCCCTCTTCATGGCCCCGTCAGGGCTGGTCAGTCGTGGGACCCCCACATTCCCAAAGCCTCAGGAGCAGTTGGCCTGTCCTGTACATGCGCAGCATGGCCTAAGGAAGGTGGCTCGGGAGGGGCCCTGGCCAAAGGAGCCTGAGAGATGCACCAGGCCCCCCAGACCCCAGGAGGCCTCTTGGTGGCCAGTCCTGCTAGTGTCATGGACATATTTCCTGGAGCTGTCATTACAGATCACCATAGGCTGGGTGGCTTAGACCGACAGAAATGTATTCTGTCATATTCTGGGGGCCAGAAGTCTGTGTGGGCAGGGCCGTGCTCCCTCCGAAGCCTCTAGGAGAGGACACGTCCTCATCCATCAGGCACTCCAGACTTGGAGCTGCAGCATTCTCTGCCCGTCTTCATATGTGTGTGTGTGTGTCCTTGTTTCTTTCTTCTCAGGACCCTCATTGGATTTAGGGCCCACCCTAAGTGACCAATCCTAAATGATCTCAGTTCTTTCCTTAATTATATCTGCAAAGAGCGTCATTTCCAAACAAGGGTCCATTCTGAGGTTCCAGGCAGACGTGAATTTGGGGGATGCTGTTAAACCCACCATGATGTGTTCTGGCACCAGCCACTTTTCTGGGTTCTGTGGCCGCTGCAGGAACAGACAAAAGTCTTAGCCCTCGTGGTGACATTCTGGTTGGGGTCGCAGATGACAAGTGAGTAAGTGAACTGTTTGAGGTAGATGTCAGAAGATGCTTAGTGCGGCGGTCAAGGGAGACCTGAAGGAGGAGCAGAGCAAGGCAGAGGCCCAGGCGAGCTCAGCGAGGATGCTCATGCCTACCCAAGAATTCAAGCACTGCCCTGCCCACGCACACCCCAGACCCCACTTTGGGAAATGCCTGGGGGTAAGGGGAGCCAGTATCTACAGCAAGTGGGTCCCTGAGTGGGGCATCCCAGAGCTGAGGGGTTACAGGTGGCAGTTGTCCCCAGTGCTTCGGGACCATCCCTCCCTCAGCCTCTGCTGCAGCTCATGATGGGTGGGTCTGCCAGAGAGCTTGGCACACTCATAGAGACAGACCAGGGCAGGAAGCCATGCAAGGCTGGGCCTTCCCTTTGTTCCTGAGGGGCCAGCCTACCCATCTGGCACAGGTCTGTCCTGCAGACACTTGACTCCATACAAACCCCTCCTGCTAGGACAACATGGCCTCTGCTGTGCCCATTGTACCAGAGGGGTCACCCACTAGCCGTGGTCAGTGCTGATATGTGAGCCGAGGGGCCGCCACTTGAGTCCCTCAGGCTGCCCGTGAACCCAGGCTCATGAAATGGTGCATGGGGAGCAGACCACCAACTGGAGGCAAGACCGCAGGGACAGCTGGCTGGGGCGTTGGTCAGAGCTCCGGCCCCTCCTCCCACTGAGTCCTCTCTGACCCATCTAGTTGACCTGCTGGTGTGGATGGAAGTGAGTGGCTTCACATGCCTGCTAGACCGGGCAGTGTTGCTGCTTGTGTGATCTCTGGCGGTGGGGACGTGGCACTCTGTGCGGCACCTTTGGTGTTCATCCTGGGCGCTGCGCCCCGAGACCGCGCTCGTGGTCCCGGGAGAGAGTGCCGCTCGTATCAGACCGGACTTTCTGCGCCGCCCAGGAGCCGAGCGAGACGGAGAGCCGTCGGCCACAGGGCTCATGCCAGTGTGGCGGAAACCGTAGTATTTCAGACCGTGTTGCCAGAAATAGTACACACAAAGGCGATGTCTATTGAATTATTAAATCCGCTCAGTTGGAAAGGTCATTCTGGGCAGTCCAAAGAGTTAACACCCAGTGGTCCGGCGTGAGGTGCGGAAGAGTCCAGCGGGCGGGCGGGCGGGGCGGCCATTGTCTAGTGCCGTATTGTGTGCTGTGTGCATGGACATTTCCGCAGTTAGTCAGGCCCGGTGGAATGCACGGGCGGCTTTCACGAGTTTATCTCTGCGGATCTCTATTCATTTCTGGAATGTCAAACAACATCTGCATTTCCTGCTGCTGCAGACGTGATTGGCAGCCGGTCCCAGGCCGACGCGTGTAGGAACACTGGGAGCTGTGCCACCCCCCGCTCCCGGAGCGGGACACACCCTGGGACCGAGGGGCCTCCAGCAGCACGGCATTCGGAGTGCGATTTGTAATGGACTGTGACGTGCAAGCCAAGCTGCGTGTCAGGAGCACATGAAATGCTTCCAGGGTCCACTTTAGCCTGCATCCTGGTTAATGCGGACGATTGAATAGGAGCGGGATCTCCTTGGAGCTCTGTCATGAGGGCAGCTCTCCAAGGTCACCAGCATGAGGAAGGGGTTCAGAGGGAAGCCACAAGCGAGGGTGGGTGGCGTGGCTGGGCTCACTGGCAGCTCACTTGCTCTTCCAGGGAAGGGGGCCGTAACCGCAACTGTCTCCCCTGAGCAGGGCAGGGGGAAGAAGTAGAACAAGTAAACCTGCCCAGGGCCCTGGCGCCCAGAGACAGATAGCCTTTGGGGGTTTCGGAAAGGGAGAAGCCTCGCTGGGAAGGCATGGGTGGTGGCAGGGGTCCTGCACAGACTCCCCCAGATGTGCCGAAGTAAGCCTGGGCTCCTTCCGTGCATCAGGGGCGGCCCGAGCTGACACCCACGGCTGTAATGGCAGGAAAGCTCCTGGCCCGGCGGCTGTGCGGTCAGTCCTCAGACGTGATGGACTACGACAACGTGAGTATCCTCTGCCCTCCAGCACGCTGCGTCCAGCCTGGAGACAGCTGCGGCGGCGGGGAGGGTGGGGGGCCCGGGGGTGTGCATGCACATGCCCCCGTGTGGGAGGGTTAGCTTTGTGGGTGTGGCCCTGGAGCAAGTGAGGGCACGCCCACCCCCTCTCGCAGGCTGCCAGCCAGCACGTCCGGGGACCTGGCCTGAGCTTGTTGCTCTCTGGGCCCCAGAGTGGGGATCTTCAGCTGTGGGTCCCCAGGGGGGTACCTCACCTGGGACCTGCTTTCCAGGTCCCCACCACAGTCTTCACCCCGCTGGAGTATGGCTGTGTGGGGCTGTCGGAGGAGGAGGCCGTGGCTCGCCACGGAGAAGAGCATGTGGAGGTACGTCAGGGCCCCGAGGACAGAGGGGTGCCAGGACGGGATGCCTGTGTGGCGCTCACGCCCTGACGACAGCCCCTCCCCGACAGAGGCCTGGCGGGCGAGTGGGAGTGTTGGCGTTTCTGCTTCCCAGGGCCTGCAGTTTGGCAGGGTGGGGCAGGGGGCCCAGAGGGATGGCTGAGATATGGCATGAAGGGACACGTGGGACGGGAGTGCTGGAGGACAGCCCCGGAAACCAGGGCCCACCTTTGTGGTGTGGCCCCTTACAGGGCCACGCATCTCCCTCCACCTGGAAAGGCTTCTCCTGCCCTCCAACCTTCTCCTGCCATCAGCTTCCGCTCCCCGCACCCCACCCCCAGCCCTGCCACAGCCCAGCCCTGCCCTCAGGTACCCCCACCTCCCTGCCACCCCTGCCTCTGTTCCCAATCCGTGAGTCGTCCGGCTCTCACGGGCCCCCAACAGCCCAGACTTAGGTACTCACCCCAGAGGAAGCCTGCTTCTTGAGTCTGCTCAGCCGGCCTGCCGTGGCCCTGGGGTGGCCCCCGAGGGTACCCCTGGTGGCCCGGCAGGATGGGGGAGCTGGAAGCCTCCAGCATGGCTTCATCTTGCTACTGCAGCAGCTTGCACACGGACCGGGAGAAACCAGACCCCATGTGGCCACCACCGCGGGCCTCGTGCCCTTTGAGAATGAGTCACTGGGCTCCAGGGCCTGCCCCTTGCCCCAGTGCCCCGGTCCCCTCCATCAACGGACCAGGCCTGACAGGCCAGCCTTCCCCCCAGCACTTTATTTGCTATTTTTGTTTGATTCATCACAAGTACGTGGGGACATATGTTCATGGCATTCTATAATGTTGTTTTATGTTTCACGATGTTGAATGGCCACATACCCTTTGTTTGTTTTCTTTTCAATTCTGTCTTAGTTAGAACAATATTCGCTGAAGTTCCATTAATTAATAATGGCTGTGCAGCACATGTGAGGGCCCCGCTCATTTTTTACTCGGCCACAGCCCCGAACACGCTGTCGAGCCCTTCTCGGGTGCTGAAAGCCTTTGGCCGACAGCTCCGGTGTGGGCTGGGGGCCTCCCCATGCCTGCCTCCCCCTCCTTGCTCAAATGAGGGCCCAGCCAGCCCCAGGGTACCCTGGGGAGGCCAGATAGCCACTGGGTGGGCCGGGCGCCCCCTTCCGCTGCCCGCAGTCACCCCGTCCACCCCCCAGCGTCCACCTGGTGTGGACTCCTGGGGGCTGAGCCTCGGGCTCCGTGACAAGACCTACGTCTGGCTGCGCTTAGCCAATCTGGTGCCCACTCTGTTGCTGTGGTCCATCGGGGCCCTGGGGGGGGGGGCGGTTCTGTCCTGCAGACGGTGTGGCTCCAGCCCCAGGCTGGCTTTGTGTGGGAGGGAGAGTTCAGCCATGTCCTTACCGCAGACCACAACCTGTAGGCCACGTGGGCAGCTCTGGGTCCCCGCCCCATCCATGCAGCCCATGAGGCTACTGACTGCGGGAATTGGTATCTTGTCACTTAGGTTTATCATGCGTATTATAAACCACTGGAGTTCACAGTGGCTCAACGGGATGCATCCCAGTGTTACATAAAGGTAAGTGTCCTCGAGGGCCCAGGGCCGGGCCATGCCGGGAGGTGAGAGGCAGGGAGTGAGCTGGCGCCCAGGGGTGGGGAAGCTCCCTGCAACCATGCAGGCCCCCTGGGGCAGGGCCGCCCGTGCAGCCCCGGGGCCCCGTCTCCAGCCAGGCTGGCCGTTGACGATGTGGCTTTCAGATGGTGTGCCTGCGGAAGCCCCCACAGCTGGTACTGGGCCTGCACTTCCTCGGCCCCAACGCAGGCGAAGTGACTCAAGGATTTGCTCTGGGGATCAAGTAAGTGCGGAGGAATGTCGGTGTGCGCGCTGCTCGGGCTCGGGTGGCTCTGACAGTTGGTGGCCCTGCGCTGGGGGGTCTGCTGCTGTGCTGCGGTTCTTACGGAGCGTTCTCCGTGTGCTCAGCAGAGCACCTCCTCAGACCCGGCAGCTCCGTCACGTGAGAGGCAACTTTCTTCTCCAGCCGAATGCTCTTAGGCCGGTCATACCGTGTCGGCTGTGGCCGGGCCACCTGGGGAGCAAGGGGAGAGGCCCATGTCCCTGGCCGCCGGGGGTGGGTCACAGTTTGGGTCTTCTCTTCTTAGAATGAGCAGGGCTGGGGCCCTCCTTCACATGGCCCAGCGCCCAGGCAGTCACGAGCAGGGTCTGCGAGAGCTGCCCCAGGACCGGCGTGTGCTTTCCAGAGCTGGGTCTTGGGCATAGGCAGTGCTTTGGGGGATCCCAGGTCCCCAGGCTTGCCTGGAGCCTTTGTGGATGGAGGCTCTGGGTGGGGGTGGGTTGTCTGGGGCAGTGGGGTGTGGGGCCGTCAGAGGCAGGAGGGTGGAAGGTGAAGTGGGGCCGAGGGAGCAGAGAAGGGCTGCACGGGCCACCCCACCATGTACTTGGGGCTTGGGGCCGAGGCCAAGATCCAGCCGCAGAGGTTGGTAGAGGTAGGAAGTCAGAGGACAGGGCGGGAGCCCGAGGCGCAGGGCCCATACCGGGAAGACTGACGTGGGCTCTGGCACCCTAGGCTTCCTGGCGGGTAATGATAATAAAGATAGGACAGAGCCAAGAGAGACTTAGAGAACACGAATGGGCAATTCACAGGCAAAGAAAATTTAAATAAATAGTAGAAAGATGCTGTGCTTCATTTGGAATTTTTCATGTAATTAAAACACCAAGAAACCATCTTGGTCAGTGAGGGTTAAAAGCTTTGCTACTGGCCAGTCTGGTGGTGATCGTTTCCAGCATCTGCGTACTGGAGACACTGAAGGTTTGAGCAAATCAGTGGAGTGAGGAGACCCATGTTCCGACACAGTCAGGAGGGGGGTGTGAACTGGACCCTCCCTCTGGGGGCCTTCTGCCCACAGTGTGAAACACACACACTTGTTCGTGTCGGGAACTCACGCACCAGATACTCTAACGTGTGTGCGTAGACGGAAGAAGGGCTGTTTGTTGCAGCCTTGTCTGCGGACGGTGGCAGCGCCCTGTGGGGAGTCCTCACTCACTGTGCCTCCGAGGAGGTGACCGGTGCCCCGCGGGTGGTCGCTGCCGCAGGGGCAGGAGGCGTGTGTGTGGGAAGTGCTGGGTGCTGAGCAGAAGAGCCTGGTGAGCAGGACCAGGCAGGGGGCTGCGCAGGGGCAGGCTGCAGTAATCGAAGTGGGCTCTGTCTCACTGGGGCAGGTGGGGAGAGGGAGCAGACCCACAGAAGGAACAGCTGGAGCCGTGGGCCAAGGTGGGTCTGCGCCTGGTGGTCTGGGAGCAGCAGGAAGCCAAGATGGAGCAGATGAGGGGTCGGGGGTAGGTAGGAGGTGGGCCTGAGGGGGCGCTGCTTGGCATTTGCTGGGAGACATGTGGGACAGGTCCAGCAGAGGTGTTGGCGGTGTTCCTGGCTGCTGGCTGGAGAAGAGAGGGTAGGGCCCAGGGCTGGGGAGCAGGGAGGAGACTGTGACTTCCAAGGCCGTCCCGCGTGCCATCTTCCAGGGGATGGGATGATGTGGACATGCCACCCTGTGCTGACTCATCGCCTGAACCCCCCTCTCCCCCTGTGTGCAGGTGTGGGGCCTCCTACGTGCAGCTGATGCAGACAGTGGGCATCCACCCCACCTGCGCCGAGGAGGTGGCCAAGCTGCGTATCTCCAAGCGCTCGGGCCTAGACCCCACTGTGACGGGCTGCTGAGGCTAAGCATCCATCCCTGCCAGACCAAGGGCACGCGGCTCACCTGCAGCCCCCCACAGCCAGGTTCTTCGGAGGCTCAGAGCCAGGTACACAGCTGGGGTAGGCTCTGTGTTTAAGGATGGAACCGTGGGGGGGTGATAGGGTGCCACTGTGAACAACTCTCTCCAGGTATGTGGGAGAGCACACCTGCTGTGCCACCTCATGGGAGCCCTGTGCCCAGGCTGCAGGGGCTGAAGAAACGGGGCTGGGAAGGAGGCCATGGGAGGGCCCCCCCTCCACAGGGCACCCCCAGCCGCTGGCCTGGCTGCCGGTGCTCCCCGGATGCAGGAAATGTCTTGAGGCTGGGCTCACACCACAGTGGCCTGTCCTGGGGGTGGAGGGAGGACACTGGGTGTGGAAACCATCCCCTGGCTGAGCTCAGTGGGCTGCTGGGTGGGAGGAGCGGGCCTCCCTCTCCAGCTTAGCCCCGTGCAGAGCAGCGCCGGCTCATTTCTCTGTCGCCCAGAAGGTGGACACGCTGCCTTGTGCATGGCGGCTGCCCACACGTCTGGTTCTGTTAGAGCTTTGCAGAGTCAGGCTGGGCAGGCGGCCGGCGGAGACCTCAGGTCTGTTCATCCCAACCCTCTTCTGAGGAGGAAGAAGTTAGTGAGTCCCTCCTTGACCGCTGCCCAAAGGTTGCATGTCGTCAGGGCCTATTCAGCTGGCCCTGTGAGAGCATTCTCCAGGCTTCAGCAGCCCAGCCCGGGGGGTCCCCTGTGGCTGTCAGCCCCTGCTGGGGTTGGGGTCCTGAGGGCTGAAGTAGACTATAGACAGAGCAGTGAGCACCCCACAAGATGCCCTCAGGCAGGCCTGACGGGCTGAATGGCAGGTGAGGGTCCCCTGGATTTGGGCACAGGCCTGGGGCTTCTCCTGGGGGCACCCTGGGCACCTGCTCTACTGTGTCCCCCGAGCCAGGGCCGCCCTTGATATGGACAAACTGAGGGCATCCTGAGGAAACTCTTATCAGAATATCACACCTAACAGCTGTTTTGTCAAGAGCCTGCTGTAAATTTTCATCCTTTCAAAATATTTGTTAATAGTGCAGCATGCGTCCCCTGAGACGCATCTATCTGGTGAGGGCGGGGCTCTCTCTGGGGCCCATTTCTCATCTGTCCCTAGAGAATCCTTGTGTGAGAGCACGGGGGACATGGCCAGGCCAATGCAGGGATGGCGGGACTACCCCATGCTGACCGTCCCCCATTCTTGTAGGACGCCGGAGCCTGAGCCCAGGCAAGCCTCACCCCCGTCTGGAGAGCCCCTGAGGTAGTCGGCGTGGGTGGCCTCTGGATGGACTGGTCGCGTGCCCCTGCAGGGATGGCTCCAGGGGTCGTCAGCCCCTGCCCCTCGCACACCCTCCAGCCTGGGCCAGCCCCACCAGGCCCCTGAGGCCAGAAGATGACGGTGTGCGCAGAAACCCACCCTGTGGGCTGCCCACATCCGAACCCCCCTGGCATTTCTGGAGCGTAAATAAAGAGGGTGTTTTCCTGATGTGTGCCCCCGCCTGTGCTGTCCCCAGCGTGCCCCCCAGGATGGCCCACGTCGGGGTGGGGCCTGGCCTGTCGCATACCCTCCATTCCGCCTCCCCTCACAGCAGAGCCACCCCTCCCAGGACCCTCTGCCGGGTCTGTCTGCGCCTCACGGCAAGGCAGGCGCTCAGGAGGGGTGGGAAGCCACTGGCTTTGTTCCAGAGCAACCTGCCAGTGGGGTGGCCCAGTGACGGGAGCTGGCAGGGGTGTTGGAGGCTTTCCGTCCCCTGAGCGTCAGGCACCTCATTACGTTTCCATTGCGGCCCTCGCAGCCGGCGTGTCTGCTGTGCTCAGGCTAATCCTGCACATTGAGGCTTGACGGGCTGAGGGAGCGCCCCTGCCAGTCATTGCCGCGGCCGGCGCTGACGGTGACGGTGACAGGCAGGGCCCCGCATTGTGCTGGAGCTTTAGCGGTGGTTAATCTCGTGTCTTCCTTAAGAAAACATCACTTAGTCTGCCCGCCCGGGAGCCCTGGATGGGACCCTGCTTGTCAGCCAACAAAGGAATGTCTTTGCACCTAATGGGCCTGCGGGAGCCTCAGACACTCGCTTGCCCAGTGCGAAGCGTGTGCAGGAGCTCTGGGCCGCCCAGTTAAGACGCTGGGTGCAGGGCCGGGCCAGCGCCCTCTTGACAAGCGCAGCGTGACATCAGCCGTGTCCCATTTAACGCACGGTTGGCGGTGCGCTCCTGCCTTGGGAGGTGCAGGCAGGGCTCCCCTCTGTGCTGGGGGTGAGGTGTTCCCTTGCCTTGCAGGCAGAGGGCGAGGTCTGCAGAGGTCAGCTAACACAGCCGAGCCGCCGGGGGTGCCCGGAGGGGCCCCTGGAGCTGGCCTGGGCCCCTGCCATGGGGCAAACAAGGAACTTGAAGTGGTTCTGTTGCTTGTTGTGACGGTAGAAACGCTGCAGCCTGCGTGGGAGCTCTCAGCACACATCAGGCAGTGTTTGGGGCGAGGACTTTCCACCTCCCTGCCCACCCCACCGGACAGCCGGAGTGCCAGCCCCATGTCCATGACCCCACAACCGCCCCAATGGTTTTCTCCGTGCACCATTTCCCTCGGGGCGGCCCGTGCTCCAGCACGCCTGCTGAGTCCGTGAGCACTCCCGCATGGGGCTGCACAGACAGCGGGCGTTCCCAGCGGAGGCCTGCCACAGAAGGCCCAGCGCTGGCGACGGCCATCACCCGGGCCACCTCCGGGGCCACACGCTGCGTCAGCCTCTGCCTGCCTGGCCATGTGGTTCGGCACCCAGGATGTCCCACATGCCCCCACTGCTCTAGGTGGGGCCCCGGGGTGACAGCCCAGGGTCCCCTGCCCAGCACTCAGGCACGTCACGCACTGGGGTCTCAAGTCTGAGTAAGAGCATGGGGAGCGGGGCGGATGTGTTGGGCCACAGTGGTTTCTGTTCTGCGTGTCCCAGGGACCGCCCAGGTCCAGACTCACTGTGTGGCCTAAGGCCCCCTCCCCGGACCCTGCCCTGCCCTGTCTCCCTCCTCCCAAGGAGCTCAGGGAGGGGCCAGAGCAGCACCAGCCAGGTGCTCTCCACCTGGCTCCAGGGCTACCTTCCCGCCACCTTTGCATGTTTTTATGGTACATGAAAATATGATTTTAGGGTGCCTGGGGGGCTCAGTCATTAAGCGTCTGCCTTCGGCTCAGGTCATGATCTCAGGGTCCTGGGATCGATCCCCGCATCGGGCTCCTTGCTTGGTTGGGGTGTCTGCTTCTCCCTCTCTCTCTACCTCTCCCCCTGCTCATGCTCTCTCTCTCTCTCTCTCTCTGTCTCAAATGAATAAGTAAAATCTTTAAAAAAAAAAAAAGAAAATACGATTGTAATTCCTCAGATTGTTCCATGTAACCTGTAATTACCCCGGCAATGTCCTGCACGCTTCTGCTTATGACTCCAGATTTCACAGTGACGTTGGTTGAGGGGCGGGAGTGGTGCTGCTCAGGGGCCATGCTATCCCATCCCTTGCCTCCCCCTCTGACCACCCACCACCCCTCTCCTTCTCCTAGCCCCGTGAGGCACTGTCTCTAAAGGTCCTGAGGCCCCAAGGAAGGTGGGTATACAGAGAAGGGTTGAGAAGTTACTATGGAGGGCTGGACCCGGACCAGCAGGGCTCAGCAAGCGAGGAGCAGGCTGGGCCCGAGGAGGAAATCTGGGACTGATGGTGGGGCTGCAAGAGGGGGCATCAGCCCACAGGGGGCGGCCCAGATGCTCAGCCAGCAGGCCTCCAAACCCTCCACAGGTCGCTGGTGCCTGCCCCGCCCCCATGTCCCACAGCCCTGCTGGGACCACTAGCTTTGCTGGGTAGCTAGTGGGGAAGTGACCACTGTGCCCAGCCAGGGGCCCTCACAGGGGGAGTTGCCCCATGAAAAACAGCTTGGCGTCAGGTGGCGCCTGCAGTTCAGGGTGTCAGTGCCTGTGGCCTCAGGTCTGGGCCTGGACCAGTCCCCAGCCTGAAGCAGGCCCCAGGGGCAGGACTGAGACCCTCACCCCCGGCTCCCTGCTGCATACAGAGCTGTCAGGAGCTGCCACAGAGCAGGCGGTCCAGGACCCTGTAAAACAGGACGCCCGAGTCAACCAGACAGTGTGCTCATCGGGAGCTGTGCCATCTCCAGAGACTTAGGGGCCACCAGGCCATGTCACTGAGCCCTCCAGACCTTGTTCAGGCTCCAGGTGCCTGGCCCATTCTGGTCAGGGGGCTCCCTTGCAGCGTGGGCTCATAGAATTCACGGGAAGCGCAGATGTAGGCATCTAGCTCCTCCAAGTCCGTCACGAGAGGCTCCGCGGTGCTGGGCTGATGGTCGGGGTCCAGGCCAGGGTGGGGGCCGGGCTGCCAGGGGCCATTCCTGTCTCCCCAAGCTGGCACACTCAGATCCAGCCAAGTCTCCCGGGTCCCAGACTTTTCCCACCCATCTCTGTGTCCCTCTGGGAGCCACTCCTTCACCCCTCTCCACTCTGGGGTCCCTCAGTGCCCCTGGCCCGGGCCATGGCCTCGTCCTGCCCAGCCTGACCAAGCCACCACCCACTCACCTTCTTCCTTGTCAGTGCCCACTGCTCCCAGCCTTGGGTGCTGGTCAGGGTGTACGCAGGGGACATTGTGGGCTGGTCACTGCCAGAGACAGGTCAGGAGCACGCCCCCCACCCCCCAGATGAGCAAGCAGCAGTAGGGTGTTCTCTGTCTGAACCAGGTGAGGGTGCTTGCATGCTTGGCGATATCTGGGCCTAAGCTGGGCCTGGCTCCGGGGGGTGGGGGGCGCCCAGCCTCAGAGGAAGATGCTTGCTTCTGGCGCCAGACGCACAGGCTGTGGATCTTCGGCCTGACGTGGGGCCGTGGCTTTTCCCTCACCTCAGGCCAGGGCAGAGACAAGAACCAGGGACAGGACAGGGGATGTAGTCATCCCAGCACAGGACCAGGTGTCCCTCCAGTGGAGCCACATGCAGGCCTGAGCCCTGCCAGCCTTCTGCCTCACTAGGGACCCCACTGCCCGTCCACCCGGGGCCCTGACCCCTGTGCCTTTGCCTCCCCTTTAGCCGACAGGCCACCCAGTGTGAGAGCTGGCTGACTGGCACCAGAGGTGCCTCCCGCTCCCGCTCCAGGGTCTGCCGCCGAGCCCCAAGCCACAGCCCAAGCCCTCTTGGTGGGGTCACCAGCACAAAAGTCCTCTGAGGCCCCCGGGCTGAGAAAGAGGCCCTTGGAGCCTGTGGGCTGGCGGTCTGCTTCTGCCTCCCCGTTTCCCTTCCCCTCGGTGCCCTCCCCCTGGCCCTCCCCAGGCCCCCATCCTCATCAGGTTTCCGTTGGTGCCAGTACCAGCAGCTGCCTCGTAGAGAAAGCCCAGAGCCAGACGACGGGCCTCGCGGGGGCCCTTTATGCCCCACCCCCGTTTCTTCCTTCCTCGGCCACCATCTTAGGCCTGGGCTTCCTTGCTGGGTACTGAGTGGTCCTGGGAGCTGCCTTAGGCCTTCCTATGCCAGGCAGGGGCATCCATGAATAAACAGATATGCCCTGGATGCCTCCCTCCTGGAGCAGGGCGGGGACGGGGGTGGCACGGGACCCCGGCTCTGCCCACCTCGGGCCGCTCTGCGCACCCAGGCCTCGGGACGTGCTTGACGCTCCACATGAGTGGCTTCTCTGCTGGGCTTTTTCACAGGGGGGGTGTGTGTGTGTTGAGGGGGGTCCTTCCCCAAAGTTGTGCACACACCAGCTCCGTGCTGCTCACCGCCCAGGCCGGGCGTCCCAGCTCCAAAAGGGCTGGACCTGGGGGGAGCCATGCTGCCGGGGGCCCCCCTCAGACAAGCCGGTGAAGGAGGGAGGCGCGCAGGTGCCTTTGGGGCAGGTCCAGCCACAGGCTGTGGAGATCCCGAGGCAAGAACTGTGGCGACCGATAACTGGGAGACTAAAAGAGACGTCAGTGGGCGCCTGGGTGGCTCAGTCATTAAGCGTCTGCCTTCGGCTCAGGTCAGGATCCCAGGGTCCTGGGATCGAGCCCCATGTCAGGCTTCCTTGCTCAGCGGGGAGTCTGCTGCTCTCTCTCTCACTCCCCCTGCTTGGGTTCTCTCTCTCACTGTGTCTCTGTCAAATAAATTAAAAAAAAAAAAATCTTTAAAAAAAAAACAACAAAAAAGAGACGTCAGTTCGCGCGTACAGGCCGGGTCACATCTGTGAGTGTGGAGGGGCCGGTGCCCGTCTCCCACCCCCCCACGCCGTGGACGGATCCCATGCCCAGCACTCCCTGGGCCTCACCTCAGCCAGCAGGGCCTGCCTCCCTGCCCCGCAGCAGAGACGGCTGTCACCACTTCCTGTTTGCAGACCCTGCGACTGGGAAAGTTCGCCAAAGGCCAAGGACGCGCAGCAGACACCCTGGGCTCCCGCCAGCCGCAGACAGCACCCGCCTCAGGCTAGCAACGCGATGTTCCGGGAACGGGAGTGACAGTAGGTGTGCCAGGGCCCGCCAGGAGGCCATAC